GACGCAGCAGGGGCAGGTCGTTGCTGTGCTCGCGGAACTGTGGCGGATTGTGAAGGGCTGAACGAAGCAAAGCCGCTTAGAGGAGCGTCCGCGGGATCAGTTCCGTGTGCGCTTGGCTAACGGGGCGATGCTCAGACGACTTCTGTAGGATGATGACATCCTGTTTCTGCTATCGGCTGTCAAGACAGCGACCGCCATGGAGACCGCGGCCGCTGGTCTGCAGGAGATCGGCGCGGTGTTCGTGAGCTTGGTAGCCCTCGCAGCCATCAACGAGGAGCCGCTTCACACCGTGGGCGCGCGCCGCATACGCCGGAAGGGCTGGGCGATGGCCCATGCCCAGACTGCGCCGGCCGACCGAGCCGGCCAATGTTGCAGGCATATCAGGCGGGCCAGATGGCACTGCGAGCGCCACATGCGTGTGTCGCTGGTGTCGGGGTCATCTGTCCCCACACTGTCCGCACAGACTGGCGGCCTGCTATGGCTGTGGGAGGGTGAGACATCTTCGCAACGTGTGCGGAGCGGTTCCACGTCGTGCAGGCATACAGCATGGGCCCAGCTGACGAAGCCTGAGCGTTTCAAGTGAACAACACATCGACGCCGAACCCGGTCCTGCCGTACAGGACGACGGGGAAATTTAGCGGGAGACCGCTGGTGCGGTCGACACGGGAGCAAGTCGGACTCTCATCAGCGAGGCCCGGTGCCACGCCACGCTGCAGAGGTTTCGACTGCAGCCAGGCGAGGGGTCTGACAGCATATAGCGGGGGCGCTGTACCGGTACGCTGTCGACTGTCGGCGCACGCCCGTTGTGACGCACATGAGGCCACGCTGCCCCTGCTCGCGGCCTGTGGGTCCGGTCCACCGCTCCCCGGCCGAGATTGGCTCACGCAGCTACAGGTGCCGTGAGCCAGCATATTCAGCCTCTTCTCGTCGCTGGAGGACCTCTAGGAGCAGAGCTACGAAAGCTTACGCCTGTCCCCCACAAAACTACAAATGGTCCGAAATGTCTCCTTAGCCCTCGTCCTGATTTACCGTTTTCATTACGTGAACTGATAGGGGAGGGGGCTGATGCGATCCCCTGACGTTTCCAAGGTAATAAAGATAGAGCTGGCAAAAACACCAGTTGATTGGACTCAACGAGATCTCAGTTTAATAATTTACCCCCTTTTGGCAGGCCGAAGGCCGAATTTCCCAGGAAATCACACTTTTTAGCTTGACAGCATAACTACGAGGCCACATCATGTGGGGATACGAAGCTTGAACAGTTCTCCTTTTCCAATGCTGAGTGCAGTTGTGCATATTTTGATATGTTTTAAGAATGCCTTTATTATATATGGTTCCATTAATGTAGCAGTGTCGGCCCGCACCGCGCGTTTCGCGGCATCGGTTGCTCCACGCCGGCCGTAGACAGCCGCGCAAGTGTTCCTCAAAAGCCGCCACCTCTCGGAAACCAGGAAAGCTGGTTGCTGGTGTCAAAACACGAGCATTGGATGCCCCATGGGCATGTAACCCGAGTCAAAGCAACGAAAAACTTTCATTTCTCCCAAATCAATGTTCTTCTTACGGCAAAATATTTTGAGAAAGATGCGTATTCATCCCACACCACCATTCCATCGCGCCCTCCCTCCTCTCCCCGGCCGCACGTGCCGCGACAAGCTGTTACTATGGCAACCGACCGGGACGGCTGTCGTTGCTGCAGCGATGGCCGTCGCGGCGACGTGGAAAGTCGGCGGAGTATACTGGGCTTTACAGACCGCAGAGCAACGGAGTTGTAGAGCACTTGAACCGGCCGCTGGTCCACGCCCTGAGGATGCTGAGAAGCATTAGGACACAGATTTGTATCTGTCAAAAGCAATGGCTTCTTGCAATGGCAGTCTACGCCGCGGGTTGTGTGACTCACCAACAGACTTCCTCTGGAGAAACGCTCACCCAGAACGCGGAATGCCAGCAATCTCAGGCAGTAGTCAACAAGCCTGGCCTCTGGCGCTTCCAGGCTTTGTTTCTTTCAGAAGCGGAGATCTGGTAAAGACGCAAGTGATCCGCTGGAAAAATTGGGTTGCCAGCAAGTTTCGCAAGAAGTTTGACGGGTCATGCACTGCCATCCATCAAAACGTCAACGTTGTGACCGTCCTCATCCAGAAAGAAGAGGGTGAAGTGGTCTGAGATCATCGTTCAGAACTGAGGTGGAAGACTCCTCCAACGTGCTTACGTTGAATCATCGAGAGTCGGCAGAATCCTGGACTCAAGCGTGTAAACGGGGGGGGGGGGGGGGGGTTTGAATGCAAGTGCCAAGAGACTGAACGGAGTTGGACGTCGGAGTGGTAGAGGAAGGTTTGTACGACTACAACACACACACATCTTCCTTTAGCATAACATTGATGATGACTCCATGATACACATCTTGTTTGGCTTGACAATGTAGTCGATAGGCTGTGAACCCCGTTGTAAGCATGTGGTGGCGTTCTAAACGTCACACCTACTTAGAAAAGTTCCATAATTCACAAATTTGAAACATTTCCTGGCTGTACTGGGGATATTTTGACTCTCCCTGAATTGGTTGGAAACAAGTGCAGTCATAATCAGAGCGACCATTACGTGTAGCGCATGAGACACAATTGTCGCCGAACGAGCGCGAAGAAGGCACGACTGACTTATTTTGTAAACTAGCGCCACCTATCCAGGACGCTAGGTACCTTTCATCGCTACCGTCCGCAGAGATCGCGCAGCCTGATCGAAATGCCGTCGTTGAAGTAACTGATCTTTTGCCATAAATGCCGTGCGCCTCTGCTTAATAGCAGCATTTCAAAAGTTGTCATGGCATACCCATACATGTGCGTGATACAGGATGCGGTGGATGACGTATGTGAGCACCTCTGTCAAGGTGCATTATTTTGGGTCGGCCTCTCTCCCTACTCCATGTTGGTCCCCCAAATGTGAGTTTGCCCACTTACTTTACGGATCCTGACAGCTTATTATATGCCTAGAGTGAGTTCCACGATGAGACAATGAAAGGACTTTTTCAGTCAGGAGGTTCAGCACCAAGGCCTTCCATCCCATTTCAGCAATGGGTTCGTTATGCCGAACTGGAGTTTCTGTGCCAATCATTGAACACCAACGGCGTGAAGAGATCTTTCCGCATCAATAACGGTCCTGCATCTATCTGAAGTGGCCGGATCCGGGGGATTCCGGCATCAGCCAGGCGACCAATGTATGATTGATCTCTCCAAGGGCTTCCGTATCGACCAAGGACCTCGCCCCTGTGTCGCCAGGGTGGCAGCCGGTAGGCATTCTGCCCCAGGGACGGCGCAGCTGGTGGAGCAGTTGCCCTCTTCTCTCTGCCGGCAAGAAGGAAGCAAGAGTATGTTCCTGCCACCTCAACATTGCCGGGAGGCTCCTTTTTCCTAAACAAAAGGTATTGTAGCTGGCTGTAGATCCCCAAAATTCAAATCAAAGAGGCCCTTTAACTCAGTTAGAGAGGAATAAATCCGGCTCAGAAGACACTTCCGTACGTGAAGAGCCCCGTTTTCCGGATAATGGGGCCACCTCTTCAACAAGGTAGCCCATGCTCTCGATGAAAAGGCCAAATGTTACGCTCAGCAGGACCTTCGCTGACGTGGAACGTTACGAACGTCTCCCGTTACGAACTAGGAAGCCCCTGTTCTGGGTTAGGAGGCACCCCCTGTATTCAGCACGCCCCATCTCTAGCACAAGAGGCCCTATTCCTGCATTAGATAACGACGGTTCCCAATCAGAGTGTCATGTGTTGGGATAACGAGGCCCCCTGGCTATAATTGCGGCCTCCGTCGTGAATCAAAAGCACCTTGTTCTCGATATTTTGTCTTTGTGTGCATCATGAGGCCATTTGCTAGAACAGGTGAGGCTGTTTAAAGATGACAAGACCCTTTGCTGGGTGATCAGAAAGCCGCCATTATAATTTATTGACTGTCGACATAAATTTACTTGGATATGATATGCGTAACAATTTGATAAGAGGATCCATGCCATCGGTACCTCTCCCCCTAGAAAACGACACTGCCCAGGAGCTCCCACCCCCACCCCCCATCCCCACCCCTGTGAGCTATAGACCGGAGAAAATGGGGAGAGGATTTCTGAGGGGAACATTTCAAAGTCACCTTGGCATTGACGTCATAATAACGTCATTGAAATCTGCCATTATATCAACCATGCGGCGCTCAAGGCCAAGAAAAGTGTAATGGTCCAGTTGTTCACATCTGGCGTTCGTGTGCAAATTTCAAGATATATCGGCCATCAATTGGCCCTCAATCAATATTGTGCAAGATACAACAACGTAATCCAACAATGATGTTTTGAGTAGCAAATTTACCGAAGAGAGAAATTGTGTTGTCTTCAGCAGGCTTTTCTACTTGAAAACATATCAAGAGTTCTAAGTACGCTCATTTCATCATGTCTGATGATTGGTTCAACATCTTCAGATGTGGGGCATCCCTTTAAAATCGAAATCCTGAGTTATTCACAAGGATTCCGGGGAACTTGGTAACACCGACAAAACTGAGCGCGTCTGATCTAACCACAGGTGGAAAGAACGAAAAGGTGGTATGCTCCCTTTCAAGCCGAATACCAGGGCATAAGCACAGGGCAGCACAGTACATGTTCTGCACATCGTGTCTGCAAAACCAAACCAAGAGTTCATTTCCGCGATGCTCGCCCCTCCCTGCACAGTGATAGGCGGGCGACGCCATATAAGCTCAGCTACTGACCGCGTCGTAAAGCCCCAAAGGAGCACGCATTACGAAGAATTTATGTGGACTTATTTCTGGCGGCCGCATGCAACCGTAGAAGACAGGTCCACTCCAATGCAGGCTCTCGCATTCCGACTTGGCTTCCAATACCAGCAACGACCTTACGCCCTGCCGTTGGCTTAGTATGTATGCCGACAGCATGTTGGTGTAGTCCTAAGACGAGCCCGTGACCACCAGGCCCCCTATGAGAATGCGCATGCCCTGCCCACTCGAGACGCTCACTGCGCTTGGTCGTGGAATGACTCCGTGTATTCTCTACACATCATAGAGAAAATTAGCATGTTCCGAAAGCGTAGCGAAACAGCTTCACGCGGTACTACAATATTCCAACGTTCGATGGCCGAGAATACAGCGCAGCCTTACAGCGCGCACCAACGCAAGAAGGGACGATGCGCAAACTAGCCAAGGCCGCAAACCACTGTGCCAAGCTCCGGCACTGAAAGCACGGCGACGACCAGCAAAGAGCAGCATCACATTTGTATGACTACAGTAAGCAGTTGCATATTGACGTTCAGAGATGTGTTGGTTTTAGCAATGTTACATTTCGTATTTAAGAGGCTATTTCTTGAGCCACGATAATTCTAGCCGCGCTTTGACATGCAAATTGACATAAGCGTTGCTACAGCATTTTCAACCACTTCAATTTAAGAGAATTAGTATTTTTGCATCAACCTACAAGCAAATAACACGCCAGCAAAAGTAGTATGAACGTCAGCTTTCCAAACAATCGGATTACAGGGCAATGCTTTTAGAAAAAGGTGTGATCGATTAAAGTAATCCGTGAAAGCAAGCGTAAGTAAACCAACGAATCAAAACGCCCAAGCCATTTATAAATATAAGCCATTCCACGCAAACACCACCGCGAGTTAGATAATTGAATCACTCGCTAACACCACACAAAAATATCCCTACCACCAAGAGCACAGGGACTACTCAATAGGCCAAACAGTACATCATTTAGTGTGCATATATATATATATATATATATATATATATATATATATATATATATATATATATATATAGCAAGGCATCTATAACGTCTCAACACAGCCATCCCATTCTGGAAAGCAGCCAGCTTCAACCAGTCCCGGCGTGTCGGGCGATCTCAGCTTCATCACTCATCGCACTGCATCCATCCAACACAAGCGTGCGTACCTCCTGGCTCAAACACTGACCACTTGCCTTCGGCATGCTAGAAGTCCAACGATCTCTTGTTCCCATCAGCTGCGGATCACTTGCACGAATTTCGCGGGCGTGCGCGACCACTATATGCTAGAATGCATGCACGGATCGCAACATTTGCGCATGCCCGGTGATGTGCGCGCGCGAGCGGTTGTGTAGTTGTGCTACATGGCTTACACCGCACTCACATATCATACGTCACGCAACAACCACAGACGGCCACCACACCAGCGACGTCCAGAGGGCCGCCGACGGCCGGCGGCCGGAGCGGCCAGCAGTCACCTTCGGCCCGGTGTCCGTTCGTAACACAGCCGCCATCTGTCCGGCTCAGACCACCCGAACGGTGGGGTCGGGCTGCGCCGGCTGGGAGGCCGGCTGGGAGGCCGGCTCGGCCGGCTCAGCCAGCGGCGCTGCCGGCTCTGGCGCCGCAGCCGGCGGGCTCGCACTCGCCGCCACCGCCGGCGGCAGCGGGCTGTGTGTGGCTGGAGGGGACTTCGGATCGTCCTCCATGCTCGGCCAGGAGGTGGGCGAGTCCACTCGCTGCAGTCGCTCGCTCAGAGCCTTCAGCGCGATTTGCCTGAGGGCGAACAGCAGACACAGACGGTAGACTACGTGCGTCGCGCCGGTGGAAGGCAAACATCGTGCGACACGGGCTTAATCGGCTTCAGTTAGTGCAAGAGTGGTGTGTAGTCCCTAAACTGATGCAGATAAACGCATGTTGTGTGGTATCAAGAATGGAGCATGGGGGGGGGGGGCAGTTACCCCTTTAACTAGGCAACATTTTATATAAACCATTTGTCGGTGGATAGAAAAAAGCAAGGATCACACCTGCCTACCCCCCAACACCATTGGATATGATTAAACACATCTGGATATGATTAAATGCAAATCACAATGAGAGGATCAGCTTGCAACTAGGCTACATCATCATAAGCTTCAAACATAATGATATAATCTGGTTGCAAGCTGACTACACTACATCATTGTGTGAGATGATGTAGCATGATGCCTCGAACTTTGCCGTGGTGCCAGTCGCACTATGCACACCATCCCAGTGCCAAATTAGCTCTAACCTGCGCCTCTCAGCATCCTGCGGCTCGACGCCTGGCAGACTGATGGTGATGGAGGAGGGCGCGCCCACGTCGTACTTCTTCACCGGGCGGCGGCACACACGCACCTTCACCAGGCACGAGTGGATCGCGTTGCAAACAACCGAGATGAGCGGCTGAAGCACATTGGGGAAGAACCTGCCGGCAAAATGTGAGCATGTATAATGCGTTCCATACAGTAGATGCTTGTGAAACTATTGGTGTGGTTTTGTACCAGTGTGGTTATGTGCAGAATGGCATGGAGTCTAGCTGAGGTTGGGCTATAGGTTCTTTTATTTTGATTGCAAGACTTCAGGCAATATGCTGATAGATTTGGTACAAACACATCTAATCATTGTCATTCTTTGGCAAAAAGATCCAATTTATGTCAAGGAGTAAAACATACTCTATCATTTGCCAGCCAATGTGTGTTTTGATGGAATGCAACTGACATTCCTTTGAATCTATGAACAAGGTAATCAAACATTCTTATTATAATTGCCTTAGAGTGGGTAAGCAGGCCAGGGGTGCATTTCTCATTGGCAAAGTACTTATCTGAGTTGCTATTCATGACATCACACACAAGAAACTATAGTCCAAGCTAAGGGCACTATTGTGATGCATTTATCTGTGATGTCATATGTTGCAGCTTGAAGAATGAGATTGGCAATGGGGAATATCCCTCCCTTCCTGGCTTGTACGCAAGGTTTCCCAGTGAAGTAACAGGGTGGACACAGCTCCAACCTTGTGACCTACAAGTCCATTTTAGCCACAGGTGTGCAAAATTTGTTGTGTGATGTGTAGCATTACATGATTTAAACCTGGTTCTTTGCATATGTATATATCCATTCTGTTTGTCAACATTTATTTACATGCACCATAATAACCCAAGTAGAATTTGCTAAGCAGGGCATATGCCTGTTGACTACTCTCACAAAGCACACTGAGAAGATCTCTCAGGCCTGGCACAAAACTAATGTGACTAACATGGAATCAATGTGACATAACACAGACATAAATGCAATATGCTACAGACACATAACACAATATGCTATTAAGCTTTCAGCAAACAGAAAAATGAGCCAGTTAACAAAAAATTATGTGCTTTCTTATACACTCTGTGCCGTCATGACTAGAAGGACTTCTGCTAAGGCTAAGCATGCTAAAGCTACAGCTAAGCATGCATGTGAATTCATGGTCATGATTACTGGAAACAAGAGAATCAAAACTATTCAATTGGATATGCTGGCAGCTTAAATAACTTGATTACATTAATGAGACTACTTAATAAATACAACTTGGTAATAGACAACTTAAATAGCGACAAAAAACAACTTAATAAATAGATCAAGACGGACAATCAGGGACATAGCCAGAGGAATTCCCCAGTACTTGCCTTACACAAGTATGTTTTACCTTTGAACCATAGTAAGTTCCCTCAGTTCTCTTACAGTGGGTGCCTGCTGAGCTTTCCTCCTTCCCTCCCCTTAAGAAAACCCTGACTGCAACTCTATACACAATAAATTGATCACACCAAATACACAACACTAACCTGCCTGTAAGTACTTACTTGGCAAATGCAAACCCTTCTGCCATGTCTCCTTTAGTTCCATTTGAGTGGGGCTGATAAAACCGAAGGTAGGTCCAGCTAATAACAAATCCAAGGGTGAACATAGTTGCATAGCTCCCCTCTACAGCTCCTATGATGTACAACAGGATGGAGAACAGGACCAGGATCAAAGGCACATTTCTGTTTGTGATTTTGATGGGTGCCCTTATAACAACATGATCTGGCATGATCTGCTTCACAGCTACAGAGCAGCCAGCAATGTAGCCAGCCAGTCCATGAATGTGCACATGGAACAGGAGGTCTGTATTGAAGGTGCACATATATAGGAAAAGATAGAAGAAGCCAGACAAGACTGCTACCAGAACATTGACCACCAGGAAGAAAAGAAGCATCTCATTCCCACCCCACAATGGTTCCAGTAGCTTTCCACACAACACAATTGTGACAATGTCAATACAAACTTCCCACAAATGAACTTCGAGGAAGCAGTGAGTGAATGCAGTCCAGAGCCAGAATCTTGGTGGAAGCAGGTATCCTGGTGTCACACTCAGGACATCAATAAGTGTGTCAGAAAAGGACAAGCAGTATCCAACCAGAGTTACTGCAATGACAAATTTCACAAAGAGGCCAGTGTTTGCAACGGCCGCAGTAGCCTGCTGCATAACGTAGGGAAGATTTCGCTTGATGGAAGAGACCGACATTGCGTTATGGCTAAGGGGTTGTTCTAAAGGGGCCAGGTAAGCAGACCAATGGAGCTGAGGACGGCGGAGCAGATCACGGCACAATGAAAATCACGATGTAGATATAGCTCAAATATAGCAATGGTGCCGTTTGTATGGTATGTGACAGTTTGCCAATTCAGTCTTCTCCAGATCCGGCACTTCAGGCAAGTCCAAATTTATCTTCCAACAGGTTCTTCTCATCAGCTTGCCACCCACGCTTTCTCCTCAGTCACTCCGATATAATCGAGTCCCGATCGTATCAATATGTTCACCGCGGGCAATGGGCCACCCGCATGTTTATCCGGAGAGCCCCGTGATCCCCGCCACGACTCTCGTAGCACGTCACCGACACCTCGTATCCAAGCTGTGGCTCGGATGTGTTGACTAAAACATGCATAAAATACTGATGTGGCATGGATATGCCATTTTCGGCGCAGATAGCATATTTATTCCGGTAGATATGAAAACGCCACCGTTGAAGAAAATCTACTAAAAAGCTACCATATCAGGGAAGTTTTCTCGCTGGGCTGCTGGGCTCTTGACGCCAGGACCAAAGATGAAAAAGTGTCTTTTCTGTCAGTTTCGAGCAGCCTCACATGTCGTCCGGAGCCTAATCTATCAGCCACCGTCGCAATATCCCCACGACATCGATGAACCACTCAAAACAAAGATAAATGAAATGCAATGAGTCATCAACATCATACTGATTCTCGTTTTGGAAGGTTCAGTAACATTTAAGTATCATTTGCTGGCTGGGCCAAAATGGGAGTCATCAAAATGTCCAAGATCGCTGGGCCCAGAGCTCATATCATCCCAGATTGCAACGTCCAGCGTTCACAGCATGCGACATGCGTTCAATTCCGTGCTCATTGGGAGGTTTCATGAGATATAAGCGAGCAGCATCCAAATTCTCAACATCCAGTGTCACGGGTGTCCATTTGCTTGTTGTGGTGGACATCTGCCCTCCCCCCCAGGAAGACAGAAGTGTGGGGCCCCCTCCAAAAATATCCTTGCATTCCGGTAATTAAATTTTGGGATAAATAGCATACCATGTATACACACATACACACACATACACACATGTTATATATATATATATATATATATATATATATATATATATATATATGTGAATGGCGATAACCGCCATCTCTACCCTCCCCCCCCCCCCGGTCATCGGGCTTGTTTACCAGAAAAGTCCCTAAAGTACGCCCTGGGCTTGCCCCCCCCCCCCCACTTTGTGAAACGTTCCTACGCCTGTGGTATATATATGCACACACACATACACACACACACACACACACACACACACACACACACACACACACACACACACACACACACACACACACACACACACACACACACACACACACACACACACACACACACACACACACACATGCACTTTTCTGGTAAACAAGCCCGATGACCGGGGGGGGGGGAGGGTAGAGACGGCGGTTATCGCCATTCATTCAAGTGTAATGACTGCTATTCCAGATATGTATCTAGGGCTATTTCTCACTGGTGCACAGTCTTGCCTATGCGAATCATCTCTGTCATTCGGGATTAAGGCCATCCAGCTTCCCAAGATTATTCGTCCATTTCAACGTTGTCTTTTCTGGTGAGCCGAAATTCCACGAGCGGGTAAGCATTTTGGGACATTGAGGAGGCACAGGGTAAATACCAAAATATGGCACGAGCATAGCCTGGCGAAAGTTTTGAAAGTGAATCGATAGCTCACAGTACAACAGATTTTGTATGCGCGTTCATTTCGCTGGCTGCTTATCAAGAAATGGAACGTGTCGCGGCATTTTACGCGGAAACAAATTCGGAAGCTTGGAACTGCCAAAAACCATGTGACAAAAGCCATAGTACTGGAGATTCTCCTTTGAAAATCAAGCCACAGAATGAGGGCCCTTCTGTCATATATTCCTTGTCTGAGCCCTGCTCCCGCCCGATGTCGGTGGCCAATGCCCTGGCCCACCTGTCTCCGAACGACTGACCACGAACTGATGGTATGGCTGCTTTGTTGCACATTTCTGGGCCAGCATTGCTACTATTGGGATGTAAAGATGTGTTGGACACCTGCAAAAGTACTTGTTTCCGAATTATCTCTCCTTACACCATACCGCCCCAGAAAAAATGCTGCCGGTGAGTTTTCTACCTTAGGTATGAATTGGCCCAACGGACATTTATTTGCCCGTCATTCAACGTAGATGACTTGATCTGCTTTTGTGTGTAGGCAGGGGGTAGCCAGAGCCTTGCTAAAAGGAACACAGGGTTGACAACATGGTGGTCCCTCCACAAAAAAATATCCCTGGACGTAGTTTACTTGTTAACAAGGGATATGGTTTTCTTCGTTTCATTATTATTTCTACGTAGTAAAGAGAACAGAAACCAGGAGCTACGGTGAAATCAATTCTGTTCACATTTTTACCACGCGCCCGGGCGGCCGGCTAGGTACCCTTCGCTCGGGTGGGGGATCAATTTGACCCCCCTGAGATATCGGGAACTAAAAGAGCTAGATACACCAAATTCACAGGGTGTGTTGGCCTGTACGTGAACTCACTTCGGTCAAAGTTTGAGATTTCTAGGTTATGGCTTTCGGGTCAAATAAGATCAAACAGAGTCAAATTCGTGGTTGGTCTCTTAAATGCCCCCAGAATCTAGATAACTGGTTCTTAGCAAAAAGGCCGCATGTTCAGTTAAGGTCAGTGACCTTCTTTGACCTTTTGAAGATCATGGTGACCAAAATCATACAAGATTGCTCTGAGTTTTGCATTTGAATAAGCGGGAAAGATCGCGCTAGGCAGCATGTTTCTAAAAACAAAATGTTGATCCAGGTCACTTCAGGTCAATGACCTATTCTGACCTCTAAGAAGTCCATGGACGATGTATAATGCGGTTTCTGCTATCCACAAATTCGAAATGAGTACATGAAACTATCCCATACGGCAAGCCCTAGAGTAATAAAACAGGTTAGTTTTGACCTTGGTCTGATCTTTATACCTGACCTTAGGTGAACGTAATTTACTCGTTCGACATTTGTGGTGTCTAAGAAAGCATCTCAGAGATGTATGGGCTCTTCTAACACTCCATTGCTGCATCAGATTGAACGATTCCCTAGAAGTTGACTTCGCTGAAACCATGGCCTGACTTTGACCTAACATGGGTCAGTGACCTTACAAAGCACATCACAAAATTTATGCCAAACGATCCGCTATTCAATTGTCTACAGCTTTGCACAACATGGTGCGGCTACGCTGCAACGTTCGGAAATCATTCTGGAAAAACTTTGGGAGGCGAGTCACTTTGGCCCCCACCCGAGCGCGTGTTAAGGTCAATGAACTGCAGAAATCTGGCGTTTAACGACCCATGGAATAAATCACCTGTGTCCTTAATTTGCAACGGCTTAGTGTACTTTCTAAACCGATAAAATTCAGAAGGTTTTCATAATGTTTCATCAGCGTTCTGCAGACATTGAGGACATCGCGAAGGTAGATTGTAGATCGACACGTTTGATCGAAATTTGAGGATGAAAATTTTGATCGTAGATCGAGTAGTCAACAATGTTTATTAACATCGCCAAGCAATGTTTGTCTGGAAATTTTATCATTCAGTCAGAATCGATAAGTGATACAATGTATACGACGTGGTTTTTAACATGCGCGCTTTGACGCGGTTTTTAACATGCGCGTTTTGACGCGGTTTTTAACATGCGCGTTTTGACGCGGTTTTTAACATGCGCACTCGCAAATCTTGGCAACAAAAACGTCGACACCAGGCGTTGCAGTCTCCATAGCCCGCGGAGCGTTACCTCAGTGGTTAACTTTTCGTCATGGTCCACCGGTGGACGAAAATGATAACGGTTTTGAAATAATTACCTGTAAAAACTTGAACCCTTTAGTAATGAAAGTTTTGTTACATAATTTTGAGCGTGCGTACTCGCAAATCTTAGTTTTAAAAACTTGACTCCAGGCGTTGCAGTTTCCGTAGGCCGCGCAGCGTCAGCTTAACATCTAATATTGAGCCGTGGCCAACGGGTGGACGAAAATGATGACGCTTCCGAAAGAAGTATCTTTAAACGCTTCAGGACATCAAATCTTACATCTTCAAGGCAGTCTGGGTGCATATTTCACGTGTGCGATTTTTAGACTGATGATAAGACCGGACTGGTCTTTAAAGTACCGCAAAGTGGTGCCGGAAGCTGGTGGTGGAACTGGAAGAGTAAAGGTAAGTTCTCCATTTTTTGTGTTTCTGTAGCCATTAATTCGCTCAGAAGACAGACTAACACGGCGCCCGCCGTCTGATGGCACTTGCAGGGACCGAAGCCATTCGTTTTAAGGGAAGCTGTAACCCAGACCATCGCTGCCCTTGCTCCTGAGGTTGTGGGCGGGCATGCTCAAACGTTTTGAGGCACTTTTTCGCTAATCCATTCCGAAAAATGAGCGTTTTTAGGCAAACGTGGGATAGCCCTGTTGGTTTTTTAAAAAAATGTATTTCGACCTAATCTATTCAGCAACAATGAGACCTCCACTCTACTCAACAATTATGAGGCCCCTTATTTCCTTCCGGATAAGGGGCCCCTCGAGTAGAGCACCGTAAATGGCCCCTGAGCAACTGAGAATAAAAGTAATTTTGAGAATAAGACAGTAATTTTGACACAGAAATTCACCACCGTACGGTCCTTACACGCAATCAGCAGATATAAAAATCAAAGCATACACTGCGGCAGGAAATGTCCGCGAGTTACCCGTTGTGATTGAATCGCGGGAGTTACCAGCCTGAGTCAGCGCGGCGCGGCCATCTCTTCTGATTATACAATTTGGGAAGTGCAGAAAAGCTGGCAAGCATGCTAGCAGACTAAGTGAGAGGAGAAACCTTACCGCCTCAAAACGTAAACATCGTAGGTCTCGCACTACATGAAGTCGAGGCCGGTGGTTTCCCCAATGTACCTCCCCGCGGTGTGTGAGAAAGCGGCATGATTGGCAATGGATGGCAATATGAAATCAACCAAACTGACAAGGGGCAGTAGGAAGCTAACTTCCCATGCGGTATGGGGGGGGGGGGGGGCTGGACTACAGAACGCGTGGCACCCGCCACGTCCACTGTCAATGGCATCAATGTTAGCTCTCAGCTATGGTGGTCGCTGGAGAAGCTGCGGGCTGATCCGGTATGCGGTGTGCTGAAGCTGACCGTTGATCCAGCATGCGATGTGCTGAAGCTGACGGCCGACGTTGAACCACAGCCAGCGGCAATGATCGTATGATGGAAGACTGATGTTCGGTCAGTCACCAATCGGCATCTGTCAGCCGTAGCTTACAACCATACGCCATCCTGGTCAGCAAGATTGACCCCACAGCTAACAAGCTCTTCCTCGACACATAGAAGGTCGCCGAATATTCTGATCAATCCTTTGGTTTCTTTTGCATGAAGTTCCTCTGCGTGACGAATTACTCCACGAAGCTTGGGTCGTAGCATGGACAGACACTATGTGACGTAAGTGGGCAGCAATGGTACTTTCATTGTGGCTGCGTGTTGGGCCAGAGAGTTACGGCCGGGGATAAGTCGAGAGTGGTGACATTGCAGCCATTCTGGAGTTGTTGAAGTTAGAAAGCAGGTTATGGCATCAACACAAATTTGGAAAAAGCAGAAGACTTTCTTGGGGGATGAATCGCTGTAAGCCTCGATCATCAGTACCATACGATGCCCGACCTGCGGACAATGTCACAACGGCGGTTCCTTAGATGCACCTCTAGTGCCAAGCTACCCCATTTTCTCAAAGCGAAGAAGATGCATGTTGAAAGTTCCACGAGATTGGTGCGTTCTATGCGTTTTGTAGGCGTCGTGCTCAGAAACATGTCACCGTTAATATTTCATTTCCTCAAGGTGACACATTTGCTTAAACAATAAGCACACATCACATTCATACACAATGCGAAAAAACTCATTCATGAAAGTACAAAACATCGACATCGTCGCGTAGCACATCTACCACAATGCACACTCACGTACGCGAGGCTTATCATGTATCTGCTATCTAGGGTTCGGATACAGTTTGAGGAGCAAGTTTGCCTGACGGGCCGTGAGCTTCTGGTCCGAGCCGTGACCGAGAACGCCGTCCGGTGAACTCTTCGTGTGGGCGTCTCGCTGTCCCTGTAACGAAGACGAACTGAATTAAAATATTCCTACCATAAAACCACAGAGAGCATAGGAGCGACGTGCAACAGGAATGCAGCTTGAACACATGGAACGTTTTTTTTTTTTGCGGCGTCCGACACCCATCGTCGCGCCGCACATTCCTTGATGGGGGCGCTAGCGACTGTGGCGCTACTCCACCATCTCCCGCGCCTCCACACATACATACGCTTTGCCAGCTGCATTTCACTTTGAAAGGGAAGTGGGCCAACTCTGTGGGGAAATCTGAATGGAAATGAGAGCAGCTTTAGCGCCATTTTCGCCTCACTCGACCTCACAACTGATCTTAAACTTGACGCTTTCCTCTATCCGCACTCCTGGTGCACGCCAACGTATACGGCAAAGTCTGCGTATAGTCGCAGGCACCGAGCTCTGCCCTGCCCTACCTATCAAGTCGGGTGCGTCAGTTGCAACATGGCCCCTGAGCGCTAATGCGGCCACTGTAGCCAGTGACGCTCCATAAAGCCTGCGTGATGACATGCGTTGCGTTAAGAACGACAAATCTAGGTGTGGCGAGAGCTGACCAATACTTCCTGATATATTGAACATAGATTATTTTCAACACTCACACCCGACTCATAACGTTTTGACGACATCATGCGCGACGGTGGAAAGAAATCCTGAATATCGACGTGAATCTGTCCATGGCTACATCACCAACCGCGGACCAGTGTGGGAATGGACCCATGGTCTGATCTCACTGAACATCATAAAAAGGTAGCAATGTAACGGCATAACAACCGTTCATAGAATTCCGATGGGCATTCCCTTTTAGGCAAAAAGACCACTGCGGAGGTCAACAGTGTACTCGTGGTGAGCCCGAGTGTCAGAAGTAAACATACGGCGGAGTTTGTGCAGCAACATCACGGAGGACCTGCAGAGTGGTAGATCATGGACCAAACATTTCATGACTGTCAATTCATGATGAACCTCCGTGTGGAACAATCGTAGACAATTAACACGCGGCCGGGTGGCCGGTTGGATACCCTTCACTCGGGTGGGGACGAGGGTGGGCGTCGGTCAATTTCACCCTCTCGGATCTCAGAAACTAGGACAGCAAGAGAAAGCAAATTTACAGGGCGCTTTGGCCTGTACGTAAACTCACTAAGTCAATATTTGAAGTTCCCAGGTCATGACCTTCGGTTCAAATAATGTTAAATGAGCTCAAACTCCAGGTTAGTCCCCAAAGTGACCCCAGAACCTACACATATTTCATAAGCAAAAGGTCACATGCTCATTTCACGTCAGTGACCTTGTTTGACCTTTTGAAGATCATGGTGACCAAAATCATACCAGACTGCCGTGAGTTTCGCAGTTGAATAAGCGACAAAGATTACGCTAGGCAGTGTGTTCCTAAAAAAAAAAAAAATATTGACCTGGGTCGTTTTAGGTCAGTAGCCTACTCTGGCAATTAAGAAGTCTATGGAAGATGCATAATGCGGTACCTGTCATCAAGAAATTCGAATTGAGCATCAGAAACTACCGCATACAACAAGCCCTAGAGTAATAAAACAAGTTGGTCTTGACCTTGGTCTGATCTTCGCACCTGACTTAGGTCGATGGAATTTTTCACTTAACTGTTGCGTTGCCTGAGCAAGCATCTCAGATGTATATGGCTCGTCTAACACTCCGTCGTTGCATAAGATTGAAATTTCCCAGAAATCGACTTCGCTGGATCCATGGCCTGACTTTGACCTGCCGTAGGTCAGTGACCTTACATGGTACATATTAATTTTTATACAGAACTATCTGCAATTCAATGATCTACAGCTGTGCAAAATTTGGTGTGAATGCGCCGCGTTGTTCGGAAACCATTGCGGAAAACCCTTCGGGGGGGGGGGGGGGGGGTCAATTCCACCCTCACCCGAGTGCGTGTTAAGACTTCCGGCTACGAGCGTGTTCGAAAGGGAGGACACCGAGGTAATACAGGAGGGGGAAGGGGGGAACCGGGAGGAATACAGGGGTACCGGGGAAATACAGGGGGCACCGAAAAAAATACATGGAGAATACCGGGGACACCGGGAATACGGGGGAATATAGGGGCACCGGGGAATACAGGAAATACAGGGCACACAGGGGGGGGGGGGGGGGGGAGCACAAGGGGAGGTACCGGGGGAATACTGTGGGAACCAGGAAACTACAAAGGAACACAGAAAGGGGACCGGGGAAATACAGGGGAACGCAGGGGGAATACAGGGCCACCGGTTAAACGACAGGGAGAACACATGGGTAGCGGGGGAATACAGGGGAATATAGGGGCCGGCCGGTAAAAGCTGGCAAGGGAAAGGTCAGATGACGTCAGGGGTCGCACAGTCAGGGTAGAAAGGAAAGTGCCAAACATTGTGGTATGCTGAGCTTCCGCCGTAAAATTATACCACTGACCCGGAGTTTCACGATCGGGTGGTGGTGTCAGGGCTCACGCGGCACGTCCCACTAAGCGTGGCTGCTAACCCCAGAAATATATCAAAACAAAAGGAAGGAGCGATTATTTGTTCAATGCAATGACGCAGCCGATTACGTCACTTGTCCTTCGTGTTCGGATATCTTGCTGATTTAAGGTCAAAGGACGATGAATGCATACCACACATTCGACTAATATGCAAACAGAACTGAACACACAACAGCTTCTTCCACTAACTTCGATTCCGGCCTAGATTCGTTACCACACCAGCGAAAGAATGGGGCTGTCCGCCATCAAGGGCAAGCGCCTGGATCAGGACTGTTCCGTACAACAGTTTTGTGCTGCGTTACAGTATTGACCTCTAATTACTGTACTGATCTTATCCAGGATTGACCTCTGAGAAATAAGGTACACTGGTGCGCGAGGAAAGTGCATCTTAATTCAGGTGATATCATGTTGGTTCAACGAGTTCTCAAGTATCAAATGCCCTAATATCAATTTCATCCTTTCCGCATACAGTCATGCTTATGGACTGATCTCAGTTCAGCAAGGCAACTTAATGTAGAACAAGTGATATTAGGAGTCAGCTGCTTGAGTTTGCGGAATGTATGCCTCCTAAGCAATACCAACCCCACCCCCACCCCACCCTGTTACATTTAGAACAAATATGCAAGACACATGGTGAACATGGCATAATGGCAATGCTACACACTTGCACTTAAAAGCAATGAGGATGCAGGTCCTAGCTAAGAGGAGGCCGTCGATTTTAGGAATGCAGCATCCAACAGCATTATCCCGGTCCAAATCACAGCTTGTGCCGAGATATGGTAAATCATGTGAGGGAGAACGCCAAAATAGTGTATAGAATAATGTGTCTATCTGGACCTTTCGACCTACCGCACATAGTAAAAAAAGGTCTCGGAAGACTTACCAAATAAGTGCGATGACATTTTTCAAACGCTTCTAGTTCACTACTACATTTCGTTTCATTGAAGTCATATTTCTTCCAGCAGGCAAACATGGCTTGCATCTCCTGGATACAGACCAAAGCTGTAAATGGAAGATAAGGACTACCATTATCCACACAAAACAGAACTGGAAAGTTGTCAGTCATGTCATGTGTTACAGCATTACAAGTGGGTTTTTAATCTGGCAGGCTATTCAAGAAGCATACGGTTTTCAAAAGCCACCTATAAGAATACTTTGCCTATAAGGCACAGATGATGTCCTAATGACAATTGGCTTCAGAGGCCTGCCAATAAATCCTGAACACATGAAAACTTGTCACTTATGTACCTTGTTTCGAGCTGTAATGCCGTGAGCTAAAACGCTAACATGGCGGGAAACCCACTACGACACACATGCTTCTCATATGGCCTATGTTAAGGATGGCATGGGGCAGAATTATGACAACATAAGCAGATAACTCCTGGTAAAAACAGAGATACCAAATGAGTCCCATACACTTCTTCCACACTCTGGGCAGTCAAAAACAACTGTGGAATTGTACAATCACAACAGGATGTCAGATGGTTCACAGTGTGGTTCACCTGCTGAACTGTTGCTGCCAGAATCAACTGCACCAGAACTGATTCCAGAACTGTGTGTGTGTCTTTGAGGCTTTACAACGCACTCAGCTGCTGAGGCTATATGGCGTCGCCTGCCTCTCACCCTGGCAGGAAGGGCGGGCATGGTGGGGAATTGAACCCTGTACCTCTGGTTTCCCAGATCCCCAGTGGTTAACACAGACCAGACGTGTTAACCACTACACTCTTGGCACCCTGATTCCAGAACTGGTCCATGTCCCCACACCAGAATTCATTTCAAATGTGTCACACTGTGTTGCAGAGAATTTAAGTACAAACCAATCCTATGTGCTGTGAGCCAAGGCCGAACTCAGTTCTGTTGGGATTGGATTAAGCACAAGTCTAAAGTCAGAAAAAATGTGCAGCAGCTTTCTATGTATTTGAAATGATGCAAACTTCAATTGATGCTCACACATTTTCACAGCACCATACTGTGAAAATGAGTTCTTTCATAAAATGTGTGTTTGTTGCATCCAAACTTACACCCATGCTTGTCCTTCTTGTCAGTGATGTTATCTGCTAATGACAGAGAACCAGTTGGTTTCCAGGGTACAGGTTCCCTTCCTGGACCACGGGCAACCAGCCATGCAGCTGTGACTCGCATTTCTGAAACAGAAATATAAAAACATCCATACCAGTGAAATTGTACCTGCAATTAATTCTTAAACATGCTCCATCATTGCTGCAAAAAAGCAGAGGATGTTAAACTGTCACCATTCCTGCAGTCTTCATAATATAAGAAGTCACAGGCAATCCTCTCACAACATCCCAGTCATATCACTGAGAAGTAGAGTTGAGATAGGAGCTGGATGTCAATGGATCAGAATATGATGGGTAAATATCCTTTGAAATGTTTGCAAAATATCAAGAGCATTCCTCTCCAACCCACAAGTCTGGTTTCAGACATGGATGTTCACCACCATGAACTTTCTAAGGCTTAAGACTCCTTTATTTCTGAACTTGACACCCACACACATATGCAGGTTTTCAAATTCCCCAAATATTAATGATGCTATAACAACCTAATGCAAATACCACCACCCCTACCACTGTGAAATGCTTCCTGTCGAGACCAAATATGATCATAAAATTATTTTTATCCGGTACAATGCATTTCAGCAAAATCTACGGCATAATTAGTCCACAGTTGGCCTCCAACTATTTTGATCCCCACAAATATTCACTGAAAAGAAGACGCACAATGGCTATGTGTACGACGTGAGATAGAAACAGGCCAGCCCCAAAAACATGGTGGCACCTTTTGTCACACTTACCGCGACTTAACAAGGGATGCTGGTTGCGGGCTCGTCTTTACCAAATTACACACAATCTCTCTCCCCAATGCACTTAGTCCCCTGGGTCCGATCCGGACCCGATCTTCTGGTCGTGACAACCCGCAAACATGCAAGACCAGTGACGTCACACATCGTTCAATTCCCGTGATGTCATAACATCAGCTGATGCTATATGACTTTCAGTCGGGACAATAGAAAACTGATTTCAGTCGGCCCAAGAAAACTAATAAGAACTTAAAACCAGTGATTTCACCCTCTTAAGTAATCCGACAAATCTTTGACCTTGAATATTTACAACACCGTTTTCAGTGACGTCACAATGTCTGTTTATACCTGACAGCTATTAATCAGCACAATAGCACTCACACCTTGCAGCTAGTGTGATTTTTCCCCCGTCCTCCGCGCACGTGCTTGAGTGTGAGAGAGTGGGAGCGGTTGCCGTGCTGTGGAGAATACACATGTTTGTGTAGCTAAGACTCTTGGGTAACAATATTTCCAAAGGTTGTAAGTATTTTCTGCAAGCGTTTGATCAAACGAGGAGTTGCAGGTCATTGGGCAGGAGGCCGAAATGACCTGATTTTTCCTGGTGTACTGAGGCTAGCTGATCAGATATGCAGGTTCACAAGCATGCTTTATTGTCAAGTTGGGAGGTGGTAGGTAACTATGAAACTTACTGTGAAATGTTTTTGGTGCTGTATTGGATTCACAAGTTTAAAAAGCAATATCCTTTGCATTATTTTACAATGAAATGCATGTTCACAAGCATACTATATTCTCAAAGCGGGAAGTGATTGGTAACTATGAAATGTGCTGTGAAGTGTTTTTGGTACTGTATTGGTACAGCATATTGCTTTCATATAATACTGGTCATGGAGGTCTTAAAAGCAAGGTGTATAGTGCTTGAGGCTGATTTATGAATATCTTGAAAAAATTAATATCCCTTGCACTATTTGATGATGCCATTTATGGTATAGCAACCTTGCTATTTCCTAAGTAAGGCACCATTTACAAACTTTGATGGGCATCAACAAGATCCTCATTTTGTTAATGGGACTATTTAGGATTGGCAGTGATGTGGAGATGTTTGTAATTACTTGGCACACTTCAAAAACTGGTCAAGTTCCTCCAGGTTATGTGTAAGTTTTAAGTCTCTCTGCAGCTAAATTACTCAATGTTAGTTTGCACATCATGTCCCAAATGAGTAAGAAAACTGGCAATGCTACTGATCTAGTTTGCTCAATATTTATGTGACAGTGTGTGTTACTTGCATATAGGTACTCTTAGACATCTGATCAGCAAAAAGCCACAAGTGTCTATCATGGTTGGCCTACTTCAGGCTCCACATGCATCCTTGGAACCAATCTTTTCACATGACTTGCCTGAGTTTAGCTGTAAATAAGATAGTTAGACCAAAAGAGCTTGTGCAAAAAATTTAGATTCTGCCAAGGGATGTCTTCCCACAACTTTGTTTGACAGTCCATACCAATTATTTGCTTGTCTTTGATCAAATAACATCTGCCTCTTAATAATTCTACTCCCACCTGTTACTGAAAATAACTGTTTTCTGCTAAGTCACATCCTAATTTCCATTGTTTCATGTACAAATATCTTGTCTTTCCCTTTCATAATCTTGAATTCCTCTCTCAGATCCTCTCTAAGCTGATGATGTTTGAGTGAATACAATATCAGGCCTCTTGAAACATATCCTTATATCTTAAGTCACCAATTCCATTTATTTTCCTAGTTGTTTATTGCTGCACTCTTTCAGTCTATATTTGTCTTTTGGAAGCATGGGGACCAAGCCTGTACTCAGTTTGTTATGTGTGGTCAGTTTTTTTTACACCTCTACTGATGTAATATTGTCAGCAAATTTTAGCACCTTGCTGTCTAATTTTGTTGGTATTACTCACAAAAATCTCCACTCCACCAGCTCCCATTGAGATTTTGTACCATTCAGCACTTCTCTGCTCTCTGTTTAGCACCCAGGCCCAAACCCAGCCAAGAATTTACTATGGGCTCAAAATTACCCCTGAAGTTGGTGCACTGTAAAACCCTGATCATCATCAGCATCCCTCAAATGCACATTACTTTACTTTTTGGGCAGACAGGTACTAGTTCAGCCCTGATGTTCCCTGCAGCATAGTTTTGTTCCCATGGTGCTTGTAGTGAAGTCTTTCAAAATTTATTTGACTGAATGCTGTTAAGCCAAGTGTGTTGGTGAATGCAATGTCAAATATGACAACTTGTTTAGTTCATACATAAACAGGCATGCCAAATGCATGGTTACCTTCCTGTCCTCAAGAACGTATGTTCCATTCAGACGTGTAATTTCCTATTCATTTGGGGAGGGGTTTCAGCTTCCACCCAACTTACGCTCCAGTCCCCACCCCCAACTTTGGGGAGGAAGTGAGCCAAATCACAGAGAAACCTGTTTGTTGGCTTTTTTGTAGTAAGTTAGGCCATATTTCACTGTTCAGCCCCCTCCCTCTGGCTTTTGTGAAATCACACCCCTGGTTACAACTAACCCTGCTGATGTCCTCACATGTCCTCACATATTGATAGTATAGCATGACTTATTATGGTATTTTATTTGAACGGTGGAGTTGCTATGGGAATAGTGTTCTTTCAGTGTTTTTGACTTAATGTCAGTGGTGTGGTCATGGAATATGCATTTCTTATTATATGAGTGTAATGTATTGGTACTCAGTGTTTTATGCAGGCTGCCATTGTGCCCCTAGCTCTGCCTGGGGTCACTGCTAGTCACATGACCAGCTCCTCATGCACAAGCTGTGTAAGTCCCCCTGCATGATTACAACATGGACAACCACACTCCACAATATATGTGTTGCCCGATTTGCAAAGTAGGAACACATTTTTTTATTCAGGGACTTCCTTCCATCTAGCCAAGTACTCTGTGTTTTGGAATGAATGTTGTGATCAAGGAATTCTCACATATTTTCAGGGCTGTGATGGCGTTCGCGGAGCTCAAGCTGTCTGACTGGATGCTGGACCAGCTCAAGGTTTTGGGTATGTGAATTTATTGACCACTGGCACTTCTGGAATAAGTGGTTAGTGAGACAACTCCAGAATGCATGAGGGAGAGGGGGCTGTTTTGGTGTTTAGGCGGATTTGATGGCTTGAACTATGTGTTTGAGTGTTTTTAAGATCAGAGTGCTAAAGATAGCTTGCTGTACAGATGCTGATCCCTGTGTGCTCAGAACAGAAGGAAATTTGTCCCAGCCTGGTAGCAGAATAATGCTACCAGGCTTTTATATTGTCATACAATGCCACCAAATGCTGTCCTGTGGTGAAGGTTTACTTCCTACCTTACCTTCATGTCACCCTGTGAAATGTACTGGTGCCTGCACTGGTTGAACACACCTTATGCTGCAATCATGATTCGCCAGGTGTTATTGGGCTTGGATTTGTGTGTGACTAGGATCAGTGGTGTTCATCGCGATGGCCTGGGTCACACTCGCTGCGGGATTGTGACATAATACTGGCCATTATTACTACATGTCTCACTAACTGGGGCAAATGAAGAGATAACTTCGGCGTGTTGATGCAGAAGCAGGTTCAAAGTGATTAGATGCATGTGGCAACAACTGTGATCAGATAATTTTGGTCTTTGGCATGTGTATGGTATTGATCAAGGGCGGACTAGGTGTGTGTACTAATGAACGCATAGGTCTTCATTGTTCAAGATGGATTGTTGTGGCAATGCATTGTCTATTGTTGTATGGCATTTGTATGTATGCCACCCCAGTCATCTGGCCTAGGAACATGTGTAACTTATTGTTTTACAGGGCTTCGAACTCCAACTGACGTACAGCTAAGGACTATTCCGAAAATTTTGGAAGGGTTTGACTGCATTGCATGTGCGAAGACAGGTTCCGGAAAAACTTTGGCCTTTGCTCTTCCCATACTGGAAGAACTCAGCAAAGATCCATATGGTAAGACCTACTAGTCGACTTGTGCTGACTGTAAGCAGCTGCACAAACTAGGCCTGATGCATTCTGTTATTTTTCCACGTAACTGTGTTCGGAAACCCTTAATTGTGTTTGGTATGCAGTGCTTGACACTGAGCCATCTTGCTTCATTGCACTCATTCTGTTATACGAAACATTAGTTTGAGCATCATAGGCGCAGGTCATCGGTTATTATAGCTAAAATGCATGTGCCATTTACAAGCGGAGAAACATTTTTGTTTCTTAAATTATTGGTATTTATTTCTATTTGTTTGCTCGACGACCATTTACGAGGTGGCTTTTCAGGTTTCGGCTCGTGACTGCATTCGCCAGCTTCGGTTCGTTACATCACTGACTCACTCGTTACAACACATCACAAATGACATAAAGCAGGCGATGCTTCGAAATATGCTATGAAATACGATACTACGAGCTAAGCTACAAAATTTGACAACATAAAATACGACGCGGGGAAATGCGGCACGACAAATACGAAACGATAAAATACCTACGAAATCGGAATGAGATTAAACTAAAGCACATGCCGTAAACGCTTGTGTCGTGAAATGCGAGTTTTTAATCCCTCAAAAATAAGAGATGAAGACGTAGTGGTGGCCGGTGGCAGGCGGTTCCAAGTCGCCGCGGAACGATAAGGAAAGTCTCGCTTGATGGCTTCCAATCGGCACGTGGGCAGGTAGAGAGACATTGACATGGAGGAGCGCGTCTCCCTTAGTGAAAGAGAGCAACGTGGCTTAGAAGGAGATAGGGCAGCCAGGGGCGATTCTGTGCATCTTAGGGTTTTGAGTACTTTCAGCATGTCCCTCTCTTTCACCAAGTGATCAATCCGGCACCAGCCTAGAGATTCCAGAGTTGATGTGATTTGCTGGCTGCGTTTTATGCTAAAGGCGATAATGGCGGCAAAATTTATAAGTTTTTGGATCTTCTGCACCTGACGCTTGATTGCGCCACAACACACGCATACGAGGTGCCGGTAGTTTAGTGGTTAACGCGTCTGCGTTAACCACTGCGCGCCTGGGAAACCAGAGGTACGGGGTTCGATTCCCCGCGGTGCCCGCCCTTCCTGCCAGGGTGAGAGGCGGGCGACGCCATATAGCCTTAGCAGCTGAGTGCGTCGTAAAGCCCCAATGACACACACACACCACACGCGTACACAGTAATTTATATCTGGAAAACGCAGGCTGCGATAACAATTTTGAGAGTATCAGATATAAAGTTTTGCGCCAGGCGTAACAGCGAAATTAGAATTTTGTTGCCTTTTTGCTTGACTTTGGCGACATGCTTCTTCCACGAAAGCGTCGAGTACACGATCACGCCCAGAAATTTGAGGTGCTGTGAGGGTGAGATAGCTTCTGTATCTATTGTCCGGTGAAAATAACAGGTTTTCTCTAAATTATGTTCCAAAGGTGTCGGAACAAAGTCAGTTTTGTTTGTTCATTTGTAGTGAGTTAGCGCCGAACCAATCGTGAAATTCTCAAATCGATGTTTCAAGATGATGGTTTAGTGCTTCGAGACTGCTTGTTGGGAGGATCGTGGTCCAGGAGTTGACTTCAAGATGATGTTTTAGTGCTTCGAGACTCTGGTTGTCGGGAGGATCGTGGCCCAGGAATTGGGCGTTATCTGCAAATGAGATGACTAGTCCATGTGACAGGTGACTGGTCCAGTCGTTCGCGAATAGGGTGAATAATAGTGGACCGACTATGGATCCCCGGGGGCACTCCATGGGTTGCCGATACAGTCGTCAGTCCTCCACGCACCACCTCTCTCCGGCCACTCAAAACAACTTTTAAAACCAATCAGAGCTCACGCCGTACTGCCTAAGTTATGTTATGAGCAAAACCGCGATCAGCGCTGTCGAAAGCCTTGGATTGGTCGACAGAAGCTAGCAAAGAAATCTCAACGCTGTCGACGTTGCTCGCCAGCTTTCCGGCAGTGTCGAACAGAGCGTCCTCAGTACACCGATGGCTGGAAGGCATATTGAGCGGGGCTTACAACACAATGACTGGAGATACGTGCTCAGCTGGCTGCAAGCGACTTTCAGGCATTAAGATAGCACACGTGAGAGAGATATGGGTCTGTTAACTGGTGCTGTTGGCTCACCTGATTTCAGGATAGGTACACACGCAATTTTCTATATGTGGGGAAATACCCGAGTTGTGAGGGAGCAGTTGGTGTTCCGCAGGAGATGCGGACCGATCACAGGGAAGTATCGGCGCTTCTGTTGTGGGTACACCATCCACACCCATCACTCTCGAGCTGCTCATACGCTGGATCGACGAAGATAATTCAGGGAGGGGAGTGGGCTTAAAAGTGAAGGAGGTCGTGCAGACAGAGTTCACGAGAGCAGTGGGCTTACAAGTAAAGAAGGTCTTGCAGACGGTTGGCGGTCTTGGTGGCTGTCCGGTGCTCTCTCTAAATGTGGTGGCAATCTGGGACCCAACCGTGGCGAAATAACCACCACGGATCCTCTCGGTTGTATGATGACGTCATGACAAATCGTTTGAAAACAGGCCAAAAATTGTGCCGGCCACCGGAAGTCATTACACCACAGAGGAAATCACGTCTAACAGCCATGATGGCATACTTAACGCTGTTTCGAAGCTGGGTGAAGTCCGTGTGAGTCTCTGGGGTGAGCAGTGCCAGCCATGTGTCCCTCGCTTTGTCCCACTCGGCTGTCAGAATACGGGGCTGAGGGCAGCCATACAGGCAGGGCAACTGGAGCGCTTCATACTTGGACGTTAGCTTTAGAGCATTATTTGGCGTGAATTTTGGGAGCATGCTACTAACAATGGTATCAATTATATTGGGGTTGATATAGGCATGTTAATGCATGTGACTTGTGTATTCATGCTGCGGCTGACGTGTGACTTCGATACGCACGTTTTGTCTGGTGCCGTGTGTCCATGATATCCGACAGGTACATACAATCTGACGCTGACCCTCGTGCACCGGCAGCAGGCTCATTGCCTCCGATTTTATCTCCTGTATGCCAGCGACAGCTGTATCCCATCTGGTCTAGACTCGTCTGTGACGTGCACGCGCCTTCTGGGGCTGACTCGCGTGTGATCGTGGCAGGTATATTCGCGCTGGTGCTGACGCCGACGCGGGAGCTGGCGCTGCAGATCGCCGACCAGTTCCGGATCCTGGGCCGGCCGATCGGGCTCCAGGACGCCGTGGTGATCGGCGGCCAGGACATGGTGGAGCAGGGCGCCAGCCTGCAGCGGCGGCCGCACGTGGTTATCGCCACGCCCGGCAGGTCAGCGGCTCATGCGCCATCCGACCGCACCGAGTCTATCACTCCGCCTGTCTTCCCCGGCCGCCGCGGCGGACAACGACGTCGCGCATGCCTGCTGGCTATCAGTGATATCAAGTCATGGTAGCATGATCTGTGGCAGTTTCTCAGCCCGTGCTGCGTGTTTGGTCGCTGAACTGCGTGCCGGACGCCTGCTTTCCCCGTGCCATCGTTATAGCTCACGCTAACACGCTGTCGCCCATTTCTGACAGACTTGTGGACCACCTGACGTCCTGTGACACGTTCTCGCTGAAGAAGGTGAAATTCCTGGTGCTGGACGAGGCGGACCGGTTGATCGCCGGCCGCTTCGACGACGACCTGGCCACCATCTTCGGCGCGCTCCCGCAGCGCCGCCAAACGCTGCTGTTCAGCGCCACGTGCAACGACACGCTCCGCCAGCTGGAGGGCATCGCCAACAGCGAGGTGAGGGCCTGAGGTCCCGGGCAGACTGGGCGCTGTCGAATGCCAGTGAATAATCGTGCAGAAGTGAACAGCCGATGTCAGAGAAGGCGAGCCACAACGTGCGCGTGAAAACATCGCTCCTTTAGCGAGGTTGTGGAAGACTTTCGAGCAGTTTTTGTGGGATATTAAAGCATTCCATTTAGTTGCGAAATGTGTGTCGTTGGAATTTAACAACGCCCCCAGTTGCTGAGGCTTTGTGGCATCGTCTGTCTCTCGCCCTGGCAGGAAGGGCGGGCACCGCGAGAGGTCGAACCTCGAATCTGAAGTTCCCCTGGCATCATTGTGAAATATGTTGCCGGCGATAGAACCCGTATGGTGTCTTTCATACAATTCATTGGTACGATCACACTGGCTGAATGCGTAATCACATGAGGTCAACCATTGAATAGCATGTTTGGATTTACTTGTTCACTATCATCGTGTTCAGTTTCATTGTGTTGGGTGTGAACTCCGACTGGGGTGCAGCAAGTCATCACCTCGATGGCGCGAGAAGCCATGATGTTGGCTCGTCCTTTGGCGACATTCGAGTTTGCCCGCGTTGCAGTGTTTCTACTATGAGAACATGGGTGAGGTGGCCACCGTAGACCAGCTGCTGCAGGAGTACGTGCTGTGCGCGAGGGATGTAAAGGACCCCACGCTGGTCCACCTTGTGCACACCTTCCTCGAGAACAAGACGGGACAAGTGATTGTTTTCACCAACAAATGCCGGTAGGGACGCTGGCAATTGCGTGGTATTTCGACACAGTCATGCTGTTCAAAATGCTGTTTGTAGAGGCACTGTTGGTCTGTGAAACTACTATTTTTAACCTTCATGAAGTCATTCACGCTTTTACCAGAATGGAAACATGGTACTGCACCGTGAACTTGTGTTCCCTAACGCACGAGCGGGTTTCAGATTATACAGAACTTTCAGTCAACAAAACAACGGTCTGCTACAGGAGTGTAGTTCCCTATTCACTTTGGGCCTTCAGCCCTCTCCCTTCCCCTCTCCCCACTTGGGCCCCAGCCTTCCCCCTCTCTAACTTTTGGAAGAAAGTGGGCCAGATCTTGGAATAAGTATGTTTACAGGCATATTGTGGGGCAGGTTGGGTCATTTTTCACTGTTCATTCCCCCCACCCCCACACTCACGCAAGTCATTTTGTGAAACTACGCCCCTGGTCTGCCATACATCGGTTGCCCTCATGTTTTCGTGAGATTCTGAGTGAGGGACGCGGCGGAAGGATGAATGCGAACCATCTTTGCCTTGTTTAGACGCCGTCATCCAGAATAATTCTTGGCAATCTTTCCAGTAGCGCTCTCTGATCTCGTATCAGATCTCAAGCGTAAAGCCAACATGCGCAGTTCGCGTCTTGTGACCAGTGGGATCGTCAGCACGTGCTGCCCACGCTGTGCTCTCCTGACATTGCGTGTTCGACCATCTGCAGATCGAGCACAGTCATGTCCATGACCTTGAATCGAATGGGCGTGCCGTCGATCGCTCTGCACTCGCAGATCAAGCAGCGGGAACGGACCGCCTCACTGGCCAAGTTTAAGTCCAACACGGTGCGCGTGCTCTTCACCACAGACGTGGGCAGCAGAGGTAAGACTGTGCTCCTCTGTCGTACAGCAACAGCCGTGCACTTGGCTCCTCACGCGTCCCCAGGACGTCAGCACATATTGGAGGCCTTTGAGGCGTCCTTCGTAAGTTATGAGCGCTTCTTGAAGAGGTTTGCAGATCGTATGGATGAAATGAGATATGCATTAATCAAGAAATTTGGTAGGCTGAGCTGGGGTTACTAGACTAGAGTAGAACAACATGGAGGAAAGACTTAGCAGTCTGGGTCCTGTCAGCCGACGAGGCGCCCAGCCGAACCGAATGGCAGCTTTGATGGCGAGTTACGAACAAATAGCAGGTTGAGACGCAGGAAAGGTGAAAACTCTACCGAATAGTGTGATGTGATGCTATAACGCAAGTTGGCGTCTTGCCATGATGTGGCGGACGGTTCAGTGCGTCGTTGACATGGATAGTACCGCACGGCGGGCGCACTGCAACGGCCTTCAAACATGGGTTCGCTATCGACTGCCCCAGGCCTGGACATCCCACTGGTGGACATGATCATCAACTACGACCTGCCAAGCGTGCCCAAGGAATACATCCACCGGGTGGGGCGGACGGCGCGCGCAGGCCGCCGCGGCCAGGCCGTCTCGATCATCACACCGTCCGAACTCCATCTGATGACACAGATCGAGGCCACCGTCGGCAGCCAGCTGCAGCAGCGGCACATTGACGGTGAGGCGTTGTCGCGAACTGGGGAGCGGTGTACGGGTGCCGTGTGGGGGCTGGTGATGGTGTAGTGGAACTGGGGAGAGCGACTTACGGCTGCCGTGTGGGGGCTGGTGATGGTGCAGTGGAACTCGGGAGAGCGACTTGTGGGTGCCGTGTGGAGGCTGGTGATGGTGCAGTGGGATTGGGTGCCATGACGGGACTTCATCAATGGCTGTCGCGTGATCCCAACGGGTTAGATGAGGTGTGTTGGGGGAGTGAGAGACGCGTGTAAATCACGCTTAATTTGGAGCTTGTAAATGCTGACTCAAAGTACGCAATATGAGACAGTGGGGAATTCTGGGGCAAGTTATCTCGTGCTTGCGGGGGCGGGAGGAAGAGGATTAAGGGAGCGTCACGGAGGTTCTAAGTGGGCTTGGTCGTAGCGGAGGAGACGGGATGGGACCTGTGACGGCAGCGGAGGCTGATGGGTAAACAAATCAAATAAAAATCGAGCAAATCAAAGATGATGATTTATCGGGTGCGTAATCTCAAGGGTATAACGCAACACGGCCATAAATGAGTGCTTTATACGAGACGTTAACGATTCGGGAGCGTAACCGTCGCTAAGCGTCACGACGAATGATTCGTTGGTTTACAGTTAATCGTCAATCGAAGTCGATATTCCATGACCCAGCGCAGGCTGTGGGGCTAGACGTGCGTCTAACCGTGCCCCTGTTCTTTGCAGACAAAGAGATTGTCAAGATCGTGACGGAGGTGCAGGTAACAAAGCGGGCCCAGGAGCTGAAGGTGACCGACAGCGAAGTTGTGGAGCGTCGGAGGATCAACAAGCTGAAAGACCTCATTCTGAAAGGTCTGGATCCAGAAGCAGCAGCGCGAGCCATGGAAGCAGTCTCTCAAAAGAGTGCAGGAAAACGGAAAAAGTCGAACGCGAACGCTGGACCGTCGGTCAAAAGGAGAACCGGTGCGGAAGGTGCTCGCCTATCAGCTAAGAAGAAAAGTGCCTCATCGACGTGATGAATGTGAAAACCGTTCGTTGTCATGCACGCCATATATGTTCACTGTCTGCCGGAGAATACATGTCTAAGATGCAATATTGGAATTGGTTGTTCATGGCCCGCATGTGACTGGTTTGCTGTTCATACAGAAACAAGTGGTCATATTTGATGATTTGATGTGTTGTCTTCTGTTAATTCATGCTCCGTTGTCTCGAAGTTCGCCGTGTCATACAGCCTATACGCCCCCACCACTTAGGATTGGCATAGAATATTAAAAGCTCCGGTAAGTCTCAATGATAAATGGGGAGTACATCATACAGTTCAGCAGCGTCCATGTTTAGGAACAACTTCTGAACTTGTTACTTCAGCTTGAGAACAACTTCGTCAGCACGCTCATCCGGTCATATGACTTCCATTGCCATAACTGCCAGTTCTCGCGTTCAAGACGTGATAGACATACTCAGCGTCTGTTTGCAAATGAACAGCACAAAATGCTTTCGTATACGGAAGCCCACGCGTTGATAAATTAAGGAGATCGTGCAAATGCTTTTGCGGAAGCTTATTGTCAGCCAGAACATGCATGCGCTTATGTAGCCATCCTCCATAGCTGTGTAGAACGGAACTGCGCTGTCATCTTGCTGTTACTGCTGATTCCAGCTGATACTGCCCGTCTTAAGAAGGCGGAAAACTTGGATCTTCAATTTAAAGCGCCATGACGTGACGCAAATTTCGTGCGTTTATCAGATGGACGATATTAGCATTCATCATACTTGTCCTTTGCAACCTGCATAAGGAGTCAGAAAGCCTACTCTGCGACAACCCGTACTGAAGGATTTCGGATGTTATCCTTATGTGAGATCATGGTGGTTCAGTTCTTACGGGCTCAGGGAGCTGTGGAGACCAATAGCTTGCATATCGTGCCCTTCCGTGCGTAAGACGCTCAGCTTTACCAGGGACGAGGCGCGTGTGTCCGCCCGCCTCTCCCCACCTCCCGTAAATCGGTGGCCCCAGCTGATGTGCCTCTCGGGGAATTTCGCGGTGTGTCCCGGTCTTCGTGCGCACAGCGGCGAGATGACCAATCGTAGCGAAATTATAATGACACCGCGAATCCCGAGCTCGTCTGGTTAAAATGCTCATTGCATTCAGGGGAGTGATTCAGCGTGAGCGAAACTACTTGGGGGCGGGGGCTTCCCCTGCTTTTGCAGACTCTTCCGCATGGATCACAAAGTGTATGTCTCGTCCCTTCTGTATTTTCAATATGTTTCGATCGATCTCTGCTCCCAGGCCCATTTTGGCCAAAAATTTTCACGGCATAACAACGCCGCTGAAGACATAGGCTGCAACGACGGTGATTTGGTCAAGGGGGCGTGTGGCGCCGCAAGCACATGTAGTCATTTTACTAGCATTGGGCACGTGCAGGGATCTTAGTCGGTTAAATAATTCGGTTCACGCTGTGTGATATCCACATTGTGAGCATCAAGCGAAGCGAAAGAAGCGGTCGCACCCGCGCCTCCATCCCACGGTCACATCTGCACGAAACTACGAAAATGAGAGCAAGGCGGGGTTCTGAATCCTGATTATGGGTGTAACCACGTCCCGGAGGTTGTGGCGTAACCACGTCTCGGAGGTTGTGGCGCAACCACGTCTCGGAGCTTGGGGTGTAACTACGCCTCGAATCAGGACTGCGCGGTCAAAGTTAGATCTGATCTTAAAACCTAACCAGGTCAAACGTTGACAGTCAGGTCGGGTCTGGTCAAACGTCGACAAAAACGCCCCAAACCACCGAAATTGGTTGTACGCAGCCCCATTTTCCGAGCCTATAGATCTGGTCAGAATGAAACCTTCACCAGTAAGTGTGCCATAGTCGACATTTTCTCCTTCTCAGAACATGGTGAACTTGGGTCACGTTAAAGATCATCAAAAGCACCCAAAACCACCAAAATTGGCTGCAGACATCCACATGCTCGGAGCCTATGGTATCGATTAGCAAAAAACTACCCTAATCGAAACGCCATAGTCGACATCTAATTCTTTTAAAACATGGTGACCTTTGGTGAGGTCAAAAATCACCATAAATACCCCCAAAACGGAAAAGCCAGGGTACAGACAACCCACGCTCCGAGCTTATGGCACCGATCAGCATGAAATGCCAACCAATCGATGCGCCATACTCGATAGCATACCTTTTTGCAGAATATGGTGACCTTGGGTCAGATCAAACGTGGCCAAAAACTCAAAAAAATCACCAAAATTGGTTGCCGACATCCTCATGCTCCGAATCTATGCCACCGATCAGGATGAAACCTTCACCAATCGATGCGCCATAGTCGATATCCTATCCTGAGGGGAATATCGTGACCTTGGGTAACGTAAAAGGCCATCAAAAACTATTTTGGTGACGTTTGACTTCACTCAAAATCATTATTTTCTCGACGGCATTGGATTTCGACCATGACACATCGAGTGGCAAAAGTTTCACGCTCATCGCTGTCGTAGCTTAGGAGAATGGTGCACGCAACCAATTTTGGTCGTTTTGGACGTTTTTGGTGACCCTCAACGTGACCCAATGTCATCATCTTCAAGAAGGACTAGGTTATCGACTATGGCGTCACGCATCAGTTGGTAAAGTTTTCATGGTGATCGGCCTGTTTTGTCGTTTTTCGATATTTTTGTTGACTTGGTCTGACCCAAGGTCAATATACTCTAGAAAGATAGGATGTAGGCTATGGCACATTGATTGGTGAAGGTTTTATGCTGGTCCTCGCCATGGGCTCCGAGCATGGTGTTGTCTGCAGGCAGCTTTGGTCGTTTTGGACGGCTTTAGGTAACCTTTAAAGTGACCCGGTGCCGAAACACTTGACCTTCTGTTTTTGACAGGCCAAAATGGCAGTGAGTGCTGCCTAATAAATAGTTTATTGGTGTTTGCATGCTTGTGTTTTATGTTCTGATTTTAAATGCTGAGGTACCGACACGAAGTGAAGTCAGACATATGAGAGGGTCAGTCACCAGTTATATACCGTGCAAGTTATGCTAGCTTCGTCTATCTGTCGTCAGGAAGTATATATACATATATATATATATATATATGTATATATATATATGTATGTATGTATGTATGTATATATATATATATATATATATATATATATATATATATATATACGCAATATTGTTCGGTGCTCTGTGCGAACCAGACAAATGCATTGACGCACTGACCAAAACTGACGAGACACCATATTGGAGTGATTGGAAGTTGCAGACGCTACGGTAATCGCATCTCTACACATCAACACTGCCATCATGCTAGAAAACTGGACGTGATCTCTTACTCCGTAAACCCCCTAGAGTTAATGGCTCCCCCCCCCCCAAATAATTTCATTCCGACCTTGAAATTTTGGGTTTATTTTGTCTAAGCCCATCTTATTGTTGACAACTCTAGAAAGCTTGGCGTGCTATGCAAGCACATACATGGAATTTGATCATTTTTCAGAACATGGTGGATGCTAGTCATTTTGGGATGCGTTTTTGGGAGAAAATGTGGAAAATGCAAAAATGGCAGTATGGGATTCTGATTATAGCAATTGAACATATGGGACCCCAGTTACAGCGTAGGGGCTCTGGACAACGTAATGTGCCTTAGAGTCTCTCAATCAACACCCTCTCGATTAGCGAATGGTTATATTTGTCTGATCGTGGACCCCTTACTTTCGCTTGCGACTGTTCTTGTTCATCTGGAAGCCTTAAAGACGTCAAATTTTGTTACGTTCTGTGTTAAAAACTGTGCTTGTTTCGGCCGGCTATGGACCTCTTTTGAAGCCTATGTACACCTCAGGGCCCAAGGGGGGCGGGCATGGCCCCATGCCCCATTCCCCTCTTGATCCGCCCCTGAGCGTACGCAAGCCTCAGTCGCCAGCCGAGTTCAGACAACAGAGAACAGACAAGTCTTCCCCAGGGAGGTTTGATCTCACTGACGGGCGCGCACCGCCTCATTACATCAGCCGGCCGGCCAGTACCGACAGATATCGCTGCGGGCCAGGCGAGATGATACCCGCCAGCCGCCAGCCGTCGCACCTGAGGCGGTGCCGGCGGGCCGCCGCGGCGTCACCGCACCGCCTCTCTCAACCACCGAAACATTTTAAAATAAGCTCCTTCCCTTGGACATGAAGCCCTCGTCGACGCCGCCAGCCGGTGGCGGCAGAGCCCGCCTGTCCCGCGGGCGCGGCGGCCCTGGCCGAGCCCGGCCGAGCCGAGCCGAGCCGGCCGCCACGTCTCCAGCCGCGGCGCCGCCCGCCGCGCCCGCGCTCGGTCCGTCGGCGAGCCCCGGGGCGCGGTCGCGCCCAGGCCGGACACGGCCGCCAGGCGCTCTAGGTAATTCATAGTAACCATGTTTTATTGCGCCCATCACGTGATCAGTGGTGGAATGCCAGGTTGACTATGTCACCTGTCGACAAAAGAAGGAAATATGACATTGCTGTGCCATAAAGCGACAGTAGGCAAAATAAATATGATGTGATATGATATTTCCGAGACCACGGCGGCACGCCCGGAGTGCCAACCAAGCGGAGCAGGCGCTGGCTGAGAACCTGGCCGAGACGGCCAGGACCTCAGGCGCTCGCAGGTCCTGCTCAATCCCGACTGGAATGGACTGCATGAGGCGGAAGGGTCTGACTGCCCATGGGCCTGCGATCGGTCTGAGCGGTCTGACCTCCCTTCGCGTCGGACGCAGGGTTCGCAGAGGGATGAGGCGTAGGCAGATGAGCTCGGGATCCGAACAAATGCGCTCGTGTATCCTCGTCCGCTGAACGGATCGGCAGGCCGCGGCGGAAGGGCAATTCATGGAACGGTCTGCCATGGGCTGTCGCCGTGCAGGATGATGCTTTTGACAGCAACTAATGGTCACCGCACATGTAAACAACAGACTTGTGTTACTCACAATCGCTCCTCCGATTCCTGAGTTTGCGTACTCTCTTTTCCTAGATTACTTCTTCCCGACTTGAAAAAAGACCTGATGCAGGTTTGTACAACTTTATTGTCTCAGGGAAAGCTGACACGTCCAACCAAGGTAATGCTTCGGACAGCATATACAACGTAACCTGTCATACGATGGAATGGTGACAAGGGAAACCACCAGAAGTGAAAGTATATTTGATCTCTCGAGACAACAGACAACGTCTTCCCTGGAGGAAGCGTCTTGCTAGGATGGGCACAGCGGCTCCTTCCTCAGCGAGCCCATCATGCAGACACCATTACAAGCTCAGTACAACAGCTGGTTCAACGTGTGAGCACTACATCAGAACGGTGAGAATCCTGGGCAATGGGGGGAACAGTGAGGACCCCGGGCGATGGGGAACTGAGGATCTCGGGCAATGGGGAACGGTGAGGGTCTCGGGTGATGGGGAACGGTGAGGATCCCGGGCGATGGGGGAACGGTGAGGATCCCAGGCGAGGAGAGAACGGTGAGGATCCCTGGCGATGGGGGAACGGTGAGGGTTTCGGGTAATGGAGAACGGTGAAGATTCCAGACGATGAGAGAACGGCGAGGATTCCAGGTGATGAGGGAACGGTGAGGATCCCGGGCGTAAGGGGAACTGTGAAGATCCCGGGCGATGGGGGAACGGTGAGGATCCCAGGCGATGGGGAACAGTGAGCATCCCGGGCGTAGGGAGAACTGTGAAGATCCCGGGCGATGGGGAACGGTGAGCATCCCCGGCGTAGGGGGAAACTGTGAAGATCTCGGGCGATGGGGGAACAGTGAGGATCCCAGGCGATGGGGAACGGTGAGCATCCCGGGCGTAGGGGGAACTGTGAAGATCTCGGGCGATGGGGGAAACGGCGAGCATCCCGGGTGATAGGAAGTGGTGAGGATCCCGGCCGCTATTCTTCGGTCCGATCGGAGACTAGACCAGCACACCATATATTGCTACAAATACATCACTGTAGACACATGACTGCCACTGTTGGCTGTCACACATAGGTCGTGTGCGATACATAGACGGCAGCAGCACGTTTCTGTTAGTGCCTGCGGCTATGGTAGGTCGCAATCTTACCGTATCTGGATAAATGCATTCATATCTAATGTTTATACGGGCAAAGCCAGAGGCTGAATTTGTTAGACTGCGTCAGGAGAGGGAGGGGAGCAGCCTGGGATCGACAGACGATGACATTCACACATCATCCATGGGCGCTATGTAAGAGTTCTAAAAAAGCATCTGGAGCAAATCGCAGGGATCAAAGTGTATGGAAAGTTTTACCCATGGATACTAGCTTTCACTGGAAGTTTGATGCGCCGGCATTTCCTGCTTCCCGTTCACCGGGCGGGGAAGCGTCAGATGTGCCCTCACAGAGCTTCCGGAAAAATAGATTAACGTAAAAAAGAACTTAAGAAAAAGGGAAAAAATATCTTAACGCAAGATGCTGAAATTCTCAGAAGCCCAGTTGTGAATATTTATTGTTATGCTGTAAGAGGGTACTTGGTAATTGAAGGTCAAGGATAACTACCTCTTTATCGAGATCATAAGAACTGAATTTGTCGTTGGGGCACTTTGCATCGGACGTCTGTTGTGGCACATGTGTTGTAAAATGGTTTCATGTCTTGAAATGTCTCGCATCGTGTCTATCTGTTGAATGTACGGTCCCATAGTCAGGTTACCCAAAGGTCAGGTTGGGTCGATTGTTCAACTGAATTCATTTGTCATGCTGACGGTCCGCATAGCCCCGCAGAAACGGAATGAGCCTTAGTTAAGAGCTTTTTCCTGGTTCTACGTGTCTAGCGCCTTAATTGCAGTTGTTCTGATCAGTAATGATGTCCATGCAACGCAGTTATATATGATTTTTCCAATCCCTTGTCGGCGAGGTTCTAGCGCGTTTCGTTCTCAGGATATCAGGGAATCTCTAAAAACTTTCTTCCACGAAGGTAGGGCAAACGCGTCCGACGAAGGCCAAACCGCGGCCGTCTGAGAAAAATGCCCCCCAACGCTTCGGGAGTAACTCCAGCAACGTGCCAAGTAAACATACCAAATTTATAGCTCCTAACTGAAGAGCAATCTGATAGATTCCGGAGTGCCAAAAGTTGGTCTCAGCTTAGTTGATCGAGTTCAGACATCATCTATTAAGCAAGCACGGTGATTTCTGCCTCCACGTGCAGTAATTCGCAGTTTTCTTTGTTGCTTCTACTTGCCTCGATGCGTGTTATCGAATGGTTCGACCATTTGCGGTTTAATGTAAGTAAAACCGTGAAAGGCGATGGGATTTCGACTTGCAAGTGTTGAACAGCATGTGTTCAGCCATTGGTGATAAGGTAAGTTAGTACAGCTGATTCTATTCCAAACCACCAACTTATGTATGAGCCATGGGGGCGGACAACGATGCTCGAACGAGTGGCCGGAGTTTAACCTAGCATGACTAGAGCTAACCTCACCCTGGCCCTTGCAAACATGATGTGATTTTGAATCACGGAATATGCTCATGCGTTTGGTTCAGATTGTCAAATTGTGCGGCCAGTGTAGCAAGTGCTTGTAGGACCTGAAGCCTTCAAAGATGCTGGTGGCTTTTAGATCATTTTGCGTCGCCCACGATGTCGTTGGTCATGTGCTAGAAGTCAGTTTTTGGATTCATGTGTGAATTTGACCAGGGTTATCAGCTTACGTATATCAGGTGGGAATGACTTTTAACTTCTCGGATGGTCGCGGGCGGCGGAACCTTCCGGATGGTGCCGGATTTAAGCACACAGAACACTCAAGCTTACTGCTATAAATGCAAAGGCAGGGAGCGAAAAATACTTTACCGACCACTAAATGTAAAATGAATGAAGGTGAAACCCGAGTCAGCCATGGCAAAACGAAGAGAGCAAAACGCACACAAGGCTGAATGATACGATGAGCATTATCGGCGCACCTCGGCGTGTCCAGTTTGAGGCTGAAAAATGCGACACGGCCCAGGAGCACATATTCCGGCAGACGGGACAGAGCAGCTAAATAAAGCTAAAATTCAATAACCTACAAAGCTCCGCGCCAAGCATGTTTACATTACAAACGATGCAACACTACCTACGATATGCAATATTCGTGTAATGTCACTTTGTGCAACGTCGCTCGTAGCCTTTAAAGGCAAGCGGTTTGCAACAATGCCCACTTGCAAACACACATATCAATGTACACAGGTCGGCCAAAGGCCCAAACGTTAACAAGTCAGGCCCAGCGGTCGGGTGCGTTCAAGACTTGCCGGTCGTCGCGATTCTATTCATATGGTGTGTGACACTTAACTGTACAACCTCCTCACCAATCATGTGCCTCAGTTGCAGCTCGAGCGCTCTAATAGTCATCCACCAGACACAGCTTTCTTAACGGTCCGCAAATGCATACGAACGACTGGAAGAGTCCTCTGCAAGTACATGACAACTGCGACATCTACGCGCGACACAAGCAGACAGCAGCAATGAGCGCTGGAAAATGGAAGACGACAGGTGAGACTCATCTGGAAGACAAAGTGGCGAGATAAGACGAGCGGCCTGCTTTTTCATTAGAGTTACAGCATCGATAGCTCGTAAGAGAGCCGCATAGAGCAGTATTAGAAGTCCCGCGAGAGATCCATACCTCACGGAAAAGATGTGGAAAGGAAAGCACGACTCATAACAAGATTGCAAAAAGTGCACAATCCACGTTCATCACATGCTGGAAGACTGTGTAGAGACGCTCAAGACAGAGTCGCAGGTAAATCCTCCCGGCACCAAACTCAGCATGAGCGGACGCCGGAGCTCGTGCAGCGAGCACTAGCAGGCCACTGACAGTTTGCCGCAGTTGTGGCGACAAATGCCACGGCACGCAATGTCACGCAAGTTCAGTTTGAACTGGAACCAGCTCACTTCTAGAGCATGGAGTCAAATGTCCCCAAATTCTTGTTTGTTATCTTCCCGGTCTCCGGACGACATATCTTCTTAAGGCGCTGCAAAAAAAGAACAACTTGTTTTCCACCCGGAAGCTCCTGCGATTTCGTCACAATCGACATCGGGTAATTCGACTCTCAAGTTGTTTCCGTGTCTGATTTGCTCCATAAGCATAAACAAACTGACGGTAGCCAGCACTCAACACATAAGCAAATGCAGGAAAGGCGTCTGCGTGCTGTCACGAGCAAGTAACGCATTGTTGCGCAAGTGAGACGCTCTGCTGAGCGAGGAACACGCATCAGTGGGCCACAAACCGCAAACCAACCATGCATTAGTGAAGAAGCATTAGTGAAGAAGCATTAGTGAAGAAGCATTAGTGAAGAAGCATTAGTGAGGAAGCATTAGTGAAGAAGCATTAGTAAAGAAGCATTAGTGAAGAAGCATTAGTGAAGAAGCATTAGTGAAGAAGCATAAGTGAAGAAGCATTAGTGATACGCGCCGCAGTCTCCAGACCGCTGTCATCGCTGACCAACAGCCGAGGCACCGCTCTCCATCGTCGTTACCTCTCTGACGGTGCCGGTCGCGTTCGCGAAGGAGTAGAGGAAGTAGGCGGGCGGGCAGAGCATGGAGGAGAGGCCCAACATGATGCCGATCATGTGCGCCCACCACGGGTACTCGTAGTTCACGTACTTGACGGGGGTAAAGTTTATTACGTTGAATATCAGCACGCTCTGCGAAATAGGAAATAAGCCGTTAGGTGACTTCTTATTCGATATTGGTGCAGCGTTTGCCTTAAAGCCGTTGGCTTCTTAGTGGTGTAACGGGCGCAGAAAGATGGCGCCTTCGATAGCGGTGGAACAAGCGTGATTAGAATCGCTGTTGCGCCACAGTTGGCGCAGTAGATCTAGACAACGCATGCTCAGGTGTTTCACAGTATACAAGGTAGCCAATGACTTCGATGAAATGAAATCGAGAACATCTTTTAGAAATTGAAGGGAGAAAGCATTTGTTAGAAATTAGAGTCATTCTTGAAGTAACCTCATGCCAGTGTCCTCAGGCAATGGAGCACTCTTTTCACAAAATTGTGTTTTCATGTCTGGATAAAGGATTAGCAGCTTAAGAGAAATAGTTCAGGCAGAAAAAACGCCTGCATGCCAGGCTCACATTTGCAACTTTGCAACAAACCCAGTCGACAATTTTGACCGTATGCCTCAAAACACCCGTGCAGTAGGAGTGCGGTACAGTAACAAGGGTCCGACAATATCACCTGTGTGAGCCTCGATAATGCCACGGGTTGAGCTATCCAGGATGACCGATGGTGTGTGTGGAACATTCAGACCTTGTAGAGCACGGAACCCTACAAAGTGAGACACCTGCAACAGTGCAGAGTAGGCCATCGCCCGGCAGATTTCCAGAAGGTCGGCATGATAGCGCCTCGGCCACCATGGCGACACCGCCGTCTCACCATGGTGACAGCCGGACAGATCACCGTCCAGCAGAGCTTGAACCAGATGAAAGGGTAGTAGCCGACCATTTCCTTGATCGCCTCGAAGTAGCGGTTGACGCCGAATCCCCAGCCGATGGCGATACACTCGAAGAAGATGAGAGTCAGCAACGCCATGCCGGAGGCGGCGTAGTCCTCGAAGATCACCAGGAGGTACATGCCACCCTGTCGGCGGACCAGCGTTAGCACCTGACGCGGATCGCAAAGACAGGACATCTTCACTGGCGGCAACCACAGAATGTGGACATGCTTATGAATATGTTCAAAACAAGACCTACGTGTGTGAAGTGTTACAAAGCAGCACGAGCAGCTGCCTATCGAGCCCGTGGTACGCACACGCCACAGCTGTATTCTATGCGTGAGGGAGATACCTCAAAACGACCTGGCTAAAGCTATACAGGTCGCACCGCCGGGGTGCCATTACGGTGGACATCGGAGTTCACCAACAGGTCGCCGGGGTGCGTGACCCGGTTGACGAAGGGTCACAACCCTATGTTTATTACTGGAACTCATGATCGGCCCAAGGCCTCACCCTACGCTACATCATCCCATAGGCTGCCGTGCTGCCCACACACGATCATACACAGGCAGTGAGATCATCCAGGCGCGTGAATTGGTCTACGTGAAAATTTCATAGAGCTGACGTACCTCCGTGACCATGCTTATGCCGACCAGAAACGACACAACACAGTAGACTGCGATGAATATTTCCCTTCTGCCGGGACGCCGCAGCACGCGCGGAAACTCGTCCACCACCGCGGTGATGAGCCCTTCCATCGTGCAGAACTGTGGCCAAGTGCATGGTCATCGGACGCCAAAGCATGCCACTGCCAAAGCCGACATTGCAGAGCACGAAAAGTGCGCAATAGGTCTCGAATCAGGGGAAAACGAAGCTGTAAGGAGACAGAATATTAGAGAAACATAAATAGGGAGCAGATAAAGAAAACGGAACAGAAGAAAGAAGGAAGGAGAGAGACAGAGAGAGAGAGAGAGGGCGGAGAGAGAGGGAGAAGGAGGGAGAGAGAGAGAGAGGGAGAGAGAGAGACAGCCAGAGACAGAGAAAGACGGACAGAGAGACAGAGAGAGAGAGAGAGAGAGAGAGAGAGAGAGAGAGAGAGAGAGAGAGAGAGAGAGAGAGAGAGGGAGAGAGAGAGAGAGAGAGAGAGAGAGAGAGAGAGAGAGAGAGAGAGAGAGAGAGAGAGAGAGAGAGAGAGAGAGAGAGAGAGAGAGAGAGAGAGAGAGAGAAGAGAGAGAGAGAGAGAGAGAGAGAGAGAGAGAGAGAGAGAGAGAGAGAGAGAGAGACGGAGAGAAATGAGAAAGATTAAAGGTGACAAGAGGGAGGAAGGGGAGCAAAACATCGGCAAGAATAATAGGCCACCGGCAAGAATAGTTCAAATAGCATTCAATGATACCACAATTTACAGACACCCGAACATTTTAATCACCTTAAGCATCCCAACAGGTAAACGCGCTTTGAACGGTTTGCATATTATGCAAGCCAAACTTAATGCATCACACAACCCACTTTTTGGCCGGTTAAATTCCCTGGCGCAGCCTGGTCTTCACGTAAAAAGGTTACCAAAAATCCACCTGGTTGGTGGCTGCAAAGTTACTCACTTGAGAGTCGAGGCCGAGCATGAGAACCATGAGGAAGAACAGCGCCGACCACAGCGGGCTGATCGGCAGCTGCAGGAGGGCTGACGGATACACCAGGAACAGCAGACCAGGGCCTGCCGCGGGCATCAGACCGACCCACTGACGTCACCGAACAAAGCCGAAGTATGCACTGTGACGGCATAATCATACGCTGACGGATCGTCAGGCAGACCACGTTAACCTCTAGGGGTTAAAACAAGGTTGAAATAAACCACAGAAAGGTCAAACAAGAATCCCTAAGCGTTGCATTATTCCCGAAGTGCATATTTATCGCGGTGTATTCTCAACAGCTCCAGCAGTGCGCAGCGGTGCCGTAGAGGTCAAAGTGGCAGCCATTGAGAACGACCCTGTCGCACAGTGCCCACCTGCCGCCGCCACTTCCTCCACCGGCTTTCCCTGCAGCGTGGCCATGTAGCCGATCACCGAGAAGATGACAAAGCCGGCGAACATCGATGTGCAGGAATTGATAGTGCAAATGATCATGGCGTCCCTGGAACATTGTAGGGTAACATTGCAGGCGCCCATGACAACAATGAGAGGATATTCATGATAATGCAGCCAAGGTAGGGCGCAATTAGACTGTTTTAGATAGGTGGATGGACAGAATCGATTTGTTCTATTCACGGTTTGGCAGTTGGGCAAACCTCACAATCGATATCGCTTTTTTCCTAATTGCATAAACGGACAACGAAATCATCAGTGTGTGTTGGAAAAACTGAAAAAGTATTGGTACAAAATTCAGATGGCTAATCCCCGTCATGTAACTTGAACAATAGCTTCACGCTTCACCACAATGTCAGTGCCTGCGCTTGCGGTTTACTTGCGTCCATCACATTCGTGATCCCATGGGGGTAGTAAAGTAGGTGATCAACAAACAGATAATACCTAACAGGCAGCTAGCAAGTTAGCTGACGGAGCCCGACGGCTGACCCACTTGTGCACGTTGTTGTTGAATTTGTTGTAGCTGCCCAACGCTATGAGAGAGCCCAGGGCCAGTCCGTACGAGAAGAACACTTGGGTGGCAGCGTCAATCCACACCTGTAAGTGCAGAGTAGTTGGAGGCTCACCGATGCCAGCGGCACGCTCAGCACACACGTGGGCAGGCGCATCTACTTGGATACAACGCAGGGATGTGGACAGCTCATTCCTGACTCAATCTAATCCGACGTCCCGCATAAAGTAAGGCAAAACCAACACCCCAGGCACACGACGACTTCATTCGCAGATGCAAATTGGTCTATTGTTGTTCTCGTCCAGCGGCCTGTTGGGACATGGTCTTTACATTCTGATATCACGATGTAATTAATAGGAATAGGCGGCGGAGCCGGCAACCAAAGTGCAGGATCGGTTACCAGTATACAAATCGGAACAGCTCTCCACCGTCACAAGGACGCAAACCTATAGGGGCACGTCGTTTCTAGGAAATACATTGGAATGCAGAACTATGTAGTTGCTACATGGCATCAGTTTGTAGGAAGTCGAGTGGCAGCAAGTCCTTCTTAAGCATTCCTTCTATGTTGATAAATAGGATATCACAACATAAATAGATATCATACTCTAATATGCCTAAAAAATACAGCAGCAACCGCAATTATTTTTGGGAGAATACACATCGTAGCAGCAGCAGGCCTACGGTCATATTACATTGTAAAAGTTAACGCAGACTTCCTTGCCATAGATAAGACAGTAGTGTTAGACTTATTCCTCGGAGAAAAACCAGAAGAATGGAGATATAGTTGGGTTGATATTTCGGCAACATGCCTTTATCGAAACAATAGCAGAAGCGCTACCTTCTGTCATTCTTTCGATAAGGCATGTTGTCGAGATATCAATCCAACTATATCTCCATTCTCCTGGTCTTTCTCCGAGGAATAAGGCTAGTACCACTGTCTTATCTATTTGACTAATGTTCCTCGCTAATGCACTGAAAAGCTTACGTAATTCAGACCAGGGCGGATCCAAAGGGGGGGGGGGGGGCACGGGGCCATGCCCTCCCTTGGGCCCCGAAGGGGCCCATTGACTTCGAGGGGGCCCATGACCAACCGAACAGGTGCATTTTTTTTAACACAAAACGCAGCAAAATTGGGTATCTCTGTACTTTCAGGAGACCAAGAACAGTTTTAGCGAAAGTGAAGGGCCTATGGGAAGTAAGAAAAAACTATTCACTGATTGGAAAAGATGTGAACTAGAGCTTTTAATACCCCTTTCACTGTCTAGGGGCCCCATGCCCTTTTCGGGGGACCTATACGCCTACTTGAAGGATCGTTTCAATCGCTAAGGGGTATTCCACGTTGCCCTTCATCTGCAGTTTGCTCGGAGGGCCCCGCACTGTTGTTGGGGCCTTTCCTGTAAATTACACCACTAATAACACGGCCCCTTCCACAGATTCTTTCCATTCGCCAGAAAGACTCCGCTAGCTAAAGCCAGGGTCTCATATCTTAACCTGCCGGGGTATGCTCGGTTGCTCAGGGGCCATTTACGTGGGTCTCGGTCAACCTACCGACATACTCGCAATACGCTTATGGACCATCTACATTGGTCAGTCTCTTTCACCTGGTTAGGGCCCAACAGCCTTGTCGGGGGCCCATCTGATGCCTGCTTAGGCACACCCAATCGTTCGGGGACCTTCCACACTGGGTCTCGGTTACTTCTTTTCTGCATGGGGGCCCTACGCTTTTGCGGGGGGCCCTATTTATTGACCCGCTCGGGCACACTCGATCATTCGGGGGCCCTCTGCATTGGGTCTTGGGTGGTAATCTTCTCGGGTATACTCCATCTTTCGGGGGCCCTCCGTACTGGGCTTTGGCTACTTCTTATTTCAATGGAGGACTTTACGCTCTCGTCGGGCCCCTTCTGATAAGCCGCTCGGGCACATTCCTTCATTCTGGGGCCATTTACACGAGGTCTTTGGCGCTTGCCTTTCGAATGGAAGGCCCTACGCTCTTGTTGGGAGCCCTATTTGTTAACCTGCTCGGGCACACTCGATCATTCGGGGCCTCCGACATTGGATCTTGGATGCTTTCTTTTTGAATGGGGGCCCCACGCTCTTGACGGGGGCCTTATATGTTAACCTGCTTGGGCGCACTTGATTGTGCAGAGCCCTACACATTGCGTCGTGAGTATCTCCTATCTGAATGGATGGCCTTATGTTCTTGGCGAGCCCCATCTATTCAACTGTTCGGGCCGGTGGCGGATGCAGAGGGTGGGGGCACGGGACCATCCCCCTGGACCATGCCGAGCGTACCTATAGGCTCCGAATGGGCCCATAACCGGCCGGACGGACGCAGATTTCTTACCACAAAAAGAACACACCACAATTGGACGATTTTGGGCCTATAGACGACCGAGAACCATTGTTAGCAAAAATAAGTTCATAACAAAGAGTTCATCAGCAAACGAAACTCATTCTCCGTTGGTTGAGAAAGTGTTGCTTGGGGGAAATTTTGGGCTCACTACGCTGTTTAGAGGCATTGCGTTGTTGGGTGCCTGGCCCTATATGTCCACTTGCCGGATCAATCTGATCGCTAATGAGCTTTCCACGTGTCCTTGATTCCTTTGTATTTTCTCGTAGGGTTCAAGGCGTTATTGGGACGCTATCTGCCTCCATGCCTGAGCACTGTTGATTGATCGGGTTTTCCTCCAAGGATTCTTCCCATTCGCCCGGAAGGCTCTATAGACTTTTTCCGGGGTCCCATATGCCGGGGTACACTGAGTTGCCCAGACACCCTTCATGTAAGTCTCGGGCTTTTTCCACTTGCTGGAGGGCCTTGTGCTGTTGCTAGAACTCTTATAAGATAAGGCACGGAGACACTCGATGCTCAGGGGCCCTCTACTTTGATCGAGGGCTCTCTTTCTTTGGTTCGTTTGCGGAGGACTCTACGCCCATCGAGGCTCGTGTCGCTGACCTGCCCGTACACTCTTAATCGCACAGGGGTATTAATTCATGGTCTTGGATAATTCCCCTTTGCCCGGAGGGTCCTGTGCTATGGCTGTGGTCTTATATGTCAGCGCGCCGGGACACAACCAACCGTTTAAGGGCCCATCACGTTGGTCTTGTATTCTTTTTGCTTGCTCTGGGGGCCGTATACTTGTTGACGAGAGTCACTTATGTGTACTCTACATGAATGCATGCGTAGCACGTCTTTGCTTTATATGATTGCGCATAATAAGACGGATTTCCGTATGTATTAGATAAATGGAGAAGCAAATATGCACAAACATAAATATATATATATATATATATATATATATATTACATATGACTTATTTTAAAATGCAATGGCCGAAATGCAAGCATATTTTTTGGGAGGTGGTCCCAAACTCAAAGGAGCCAAACAATGTCTCGTGCCTCGCCCCTTGACGAAATCCTAGATCCACCCCTGATTCAGACTTCCTTCGAACCAATAATTCATGCTAACAGTTCTAGAGGTACCTCATTGGACACCAGATCAGGAATGCATGTAAATTAGATAAATATGAGCAAAAGGCCTCGTTTGTAGTCAGGTTCACCAAAAAAAGTCGGCAATGTTGCTTTGGAAGCGTTTTCGTCTCATCACCATATACTTGTTCGTCATCTTACGTTCGTAAATTTGGCTCAATGGGGCCAACTCATAGCGTTACGCAAACGTGATGTAAGTAAATTGATGCATGAATGATAGCACAAAGAAAAACTTCCGGACAAATTGTCGGCCATACTGTCACGCTCCTGTTTGTTACAGATTTTGTGCATTTCGGCACTTGGGTTCCTGTATGCAAATGCTTGCGTAAAGAGGGACAATTTGACATCATATGATATGCAGGGCAGCATGAAACCACGTCAAAAGTGTGTGCCATCAGATGAAAGATCACATACAACATCACATCACATTGCTCAGAAGCAGTTCTAGACTTTTGAGAAGCTACATTACGTGTATCAAGTAATAGAGCTCACGTTTTGTGTAACGTAATGTTTGCGAGCTGAGATTTTCCATGCGCCGCTCACCACTCACCTTGACCTCCGTCAGCTTACTGATGTCCGGAAGGATGTAGAACTTGATGCCCTCGATGGCTCCCGGAAGAGTGACGCCGCGAACCAGCAGAATGGTCATCAACACGTACGGAAAGAGTGACGTGAAGTACAACACCTGTTGACAACACGGCGTGGTGATCCGCTGGCACACAACCAAGCTGCTACATAATGTGCTATGTTGCGTTATTCGAAGGCAAATTGAATTCCGGTAGGCAACAAATGATGGGGCAAGTTATGCTCACTGTATTGGCTGCAGCACGAATATGACATTGTAACTGAGTTATTTGTTTAAAAAGAATCGTCGGAGAAAATCCCTTATGAGGTTGCTCCGTTGGTAAAGTCTGCTTACACCCAGAAAATTTCAAACGCGTAGGTTTTAAGTAAGGGTTCGACCTTTCTGTTAGATCAGACATCTCTTGGTATGATTCTAAGAGATTAAAGCTTGAAAGCTCTTCTGAAATGAATGGTTGCCAGCTGAAATAATCTATCACTGGAAAGCTATGATTAAGTTGGAGCCTGATTTGAAGATATTAGAAATGTGACATATTGTTTGTGTCCTCTTTTAAAAACCCTTATGACGCTGCATGCAGTGTTATCTGAATGGAGCCAGAATTTCTCATTCTACTGTGAGCTCATATCAGTCACTTTTCTTCACTACAGGCAGGACCTGGTTGTTGATGGTCAGAACTGGTGTGATAAGACTTTCACTGATAATTAAACATACTGTCTATGTGGTAGACTAACACTTTGTGAACAGGTATCACTATATAATAATGAAGCAGTTTACATATAATAATGACGCAGTTCGGTCTGTCAACTTTAACCAATGCCTTTAAATGTGAACTTATCTATTCCGCTACCGTGTATGGCGTCATTCCCGACACGGCTGGCATGCGGTGTTCAGCACGCAACCCCGATGAAAACTGAAGCAGCCCGTTGTCAACATAATGTGCCCTCTGATAGACTCAAATACATCTACACTTCTATTGGTTCACGGCGAATGTCACACCTGTCTCCACGTGTGCACTATGATGTATGCATTCGAATATGATGACATTATGAACACGAGCAATCAAATGGTCTGGCTTTTTCCCCACTCATGTTATGTCACTCCAGTGGACTTGGCATTATTAAATACATTGTTCCATGTAGTAATCTTACAAACGGTTTACATGTGCGGCTTTGGGCCCAGAGTATCTGCTAGGCATAGCTTAATGCATGTACCCTCAACCCACCACCCAGTTCATGCCGCCCAGTTCAACGGTTGATTTTGTTTCCGCCCTTTTGACAAACGTGAGTGCGGAGGGTCTCCCGTGCCACATAATCCTGTGGCACGGCCGCCCCTGACCTGGGTTCGGATTGACCCTCGTTGGCCAGTTGTCAGCTGACCTTTCCATTTCAGTTGGGCCAAACAAAGCGCCCGCTCTGGGACTCGTACCCATCGCTGCTACACTACGGGTCCAACATCTTTCTTCTAGGCTACGAAGAAGACATTGTGGGTACATGCATTACCATGAAACACTAAGCACATGTCATGCATTGACTGCCATGATGTACAAACCAATACTTGCATACTGCTATTTTGTAATATAAACTCAATTCAAACTATAGACCTCACAGCTTGTAACAAGCTCCTCTCATAGACTACCACTAAGCGATACAAAATATAGCAACATTAACATGAAAATAAAAATAAAACTTTCAGAAACCAAGCATAGTTTGGAAGACAACATCTGGCATATTTAGGACTGGGGCATGTTTAACTAGATCGCAATGCGTAGCTGAAGACTATCGCTCCAAACTCAGACATTTCAACGAAACTGATCGGAAGGTACGCTTCGAACCACATACGACAGTTTGCGAGGACACCACAGACCATCCTGTACCTTTCCAGTGTACTTGACACCCTTCCAGATGCAGAAGTAGCAGAGGACCCAGGCCAGGGCGAGCGTGCCCACCAGCTCCCAGCGCACCGAGCCCATGTCCTTCGATGCCGCTCGAAATGCCGAGCGCACGGCGCCTGGGGGTAACGGGCGATGACCTTCCAGAGGCGCGCAGAGGTAGACGTCTACGAGCGCGGGGTTCCTGTTGCTCAGAGTGTACTTATCAGCTTGCGCTAGCTTTTGCTATTTTCGCAAGAAACCGCCTCTGAAGGTAAACTGTTAATTTCAACGGCGGTTAGTACTGTAAAAATGTGTTGCATCGCTAATCGCATATTTCGTTTTAATTACTTCGATTATGCGCCAAGGTTCGTGTACTAGTATGACTGGTACAGCCGTGGGAGGCGTGCACCAAACGTAGGCATCGTATATCCATATTGTGCGCAGTCTGAACAAATTAGCAGCTTTCCACACCGAAAGCATACACATGAACCGTCCCTTGAGTAGCACCGGTTACACTTACAGTCATCTGTCCCCTACGAACGGGGAAAGTTAGCCGCTCTCCACCAAATGCGCCACCGTAGGAACATATGCGCGGTCACTGTACAGACTATTCTCGCATCCATTTGACGCGGACAGTGCATCCCGGGCGTCTGGACGAGTTCCCGGGGCGGCTGCGCGCCGGCCAGCCGGCGGGGGGCTATCCTTTGTACGCCCGCCTCCGTCCAGCCTACAGTCCGACAGGTCACCGTGTGACTCCGCACGCGGTACGCGCCTATGGCCCGCTGGGCACTCACGGTATCAGGAGCAGCAAACGTCAACGAAGGGGTAGCTGATGGTGTCAGTCGGAACCGCGAGTACCGGCCAGACAAAAAGGCGGACATGACTTACTCCCAGAACTCCCGCACGGGGTCCGTCATGTCCTTCTCATTGACGACATAGTTCTCCAGCTGACAGTAGGTCCTGCTGCTGAAATTGCTCAAGCTCTCGGTCCAGCAGTCGAGCTTGTCACGTTCGTATGGGCTGACGCACGTGGCCGAGTTCCACCAGTTGTCGCATTCGCCCCAGGGCAGCGCTGTCCAACAGGCGGGCAATGACAGACCATGGGTCAGGCAGTCGGCGAAAGCACAGGTAGCCTGACCCGTCTCAGCTCGTGCTTTTAACCGCCATCTTTGTGTAGAGGATCAGAGGGACTCCAAGCCCCTAGCCGTCCCTAACCCTTGTCCTACGGACGTATTTCACCCTCTCCTCAGAGGGCGCTTAATGACACTTCCTAAGGATCTTAAAAAGCTAAGCAAGTCAGAGACACTAATAAAGCAGCATTGGAAGGTTCCCCAAACGGTACAAGACAGGTGTCACTGAACAATGATCAATGCTGCTTCAACAGGTCACAGCAGGTCGTAGAAGTTAATCTTAGCACTTCACAGGCTCCTCCTGTCATCTCAAAACCGAAACGTGCTACAATGTAAAAATATCATTAAACATCCGTTGTAGGAACTTTATTAGACGGGCACCAGTGAATATTGATAGGCGGGACGTGTAATGTATCCTGTGAAGTCAAATAAGTGGAGGCCGTTGTTGCATTGGACAGTCAGCCTATATAAAAAACTAAACAAGCATTGTCCATGGAGAGCTGTAAAATAAGTGCATCTAATGTTTTAGACCATGTAACCTTCAAAAGGTCAGATCTTGTCACAAATACCAAAGTTTAGCAGTTTTACATTAGATGATCTGACCCTGCAAAAGCAGTCATTACGACGTTCATGCACTCCAGTGTTAAACTAAGGAAAACAGCCCAAGAATGTCCTCCGAGTGCATTGCCTGTGAGAAATAAACGTTAACTGTCACCTTCGAGCAAATTTATCTGGCATGACCTCAAGACACATGTGATAAATCCTAGCTACAACGTTAAGGGCAGAAGTATCAAATTTTCACAACATACGTAACATAAGTATCTCATCTAGCCGCAATTTCAAGACTGCGCTCGAAATGCATAGAAACGGTGCACAGAAATGCAGAAATGCACGCATAAATTTCAGGCAGATACCCTAGTGGGGCTCATGAGACCGCTCCCCGTAGGATGACGGTGAGCTAAGAGGACAATCGAGTTGTACCTCGTGAAGATGAAGAGACCGCTGTCTGACACCGAATATTGTAAAACGAAACACTAGTGATGCTTACCGGCTCGCAAGGAAGAGAAAAAAGTAGAAGAGCGCCCATGACAGCACCACAATGTAGTAGATATTCAGCCAGATGCACTGGATCACTGCTCCGAACCCAACGCCTGTAAAAGCGAAAAACAGCTATGAGTGTACACAGCACACAGCCAAAACTGCTGACTGCATGTGCGCGGGCTACATTATATCTTCTGATCCTGCATCGCAGGACGCCAAGAATGTGTGTTTGATTATGACAATGAAAGCATCAGCTTTCCAATGTACATCAGCACGGCACCATGGACGGAGTGGGAGAGCGAGGTCCCACCGAAAAGCGTATTTGACGTTGATTCCACGTCTCTAGCACGAGACATCAGGGCAAATACTAGACATGACGTATATAGGGGTTTAAACATATCAAACTGATAATTTCGCCGTGACCCACAATGCCAATGTACGTAAAGAAGATGCATGTTATGGGAAGAATATACAAGAGCAGAGCGAGGACAAGGCCAAACATACGAACACGGACTGTTCGTCCAACTCCGCGAACATAACTAAACCAACGCCACCTTTGCGGCAATGAGAAGTACCTAACAGTGAGTCACACTATCTTGCTACACAGCTGGCATCAGCCGGACCACTGCGAACTCTGGGCAGACGACTCTGTTGTCATAAGAACGTTCTATACCATGAGGAACCGGTAGCATGAATGAGAAGTCACGTGTATTAAGTAAGTGAAATTTGCATTAAATTATGCAGTCATTTGCCACATTAAAAGGCGTACCAATGGAAAAGTGGGCTCTCTTATCGATTTCAATAGTGGCTTTAACGCCGCGGATGGCGGCGGTAGCCAGCCCTGAGAGTTTAGACAGAGCACAAGTTCGGCACTCTGGCCGAGAAACGCTGCATCCCAGCCTCGGTCCTCGAGGGGGCACGTAAAGCAAACTACCCTGCCGCGTACTCCTCGCCCGCGTCAAATGTATTTGCTCAGAAGATGGGCGCGAGTGAGTCTGGCTCACCGTGCACTATCACCTCATGCGTTAGGCGCAGTGTGCAAGAGTCCGCTAGTTGTGACATGGCTATCCATACCAGAGTCTCTTCGCAGGTCAGACACATATTCAAACTTTCGACGCCCAAAGGTAGTCCGAGCACCGATTTCTTAATTTTTGAGGGAGTATTTTTGAGGAAAAGTTGTTTTGGCACTGTCACCATGAATCAAAATGCAGCATCTGACATGCGGGAGAACGAGAGCCGTGACCAGATGTGATGATGTCATTTAATGCAAGGTGTGGGATGTGGGTTAGACCGACGAAGATGCCTGTGCGGCAGCGACTGGCGTATGACACGTGCACGCCCACGAAAAGGTTTGGTCAACAGTCATACCCATATTCTTAACTCACTGCAGAGTACGAAAGTTGTAGTCACGAAAGGTGACTTGAGAAGCTGTAAATTTGCGCAGATTTTGACGACTTGCAAAAAGGTGAGCTATGTTTTTTGCTGCGTTGACCTTGAGGGTATTCGCGACATGCCATATGTCCAGAGAACAGGGAACATTATCGGCACGGGAGATAAGCGCTGTGAGAAAACTCTTTCTTCTGGTGATAGGCTATGTGTGTGTCATTGGAGTGCTGCACGACATCGCGTCACATAAAAAAGCACCACGCTGTTCACGAGACGCTGAAAACAAGAGCATGAAGAGCGACCCTGGACACGTCCACGGCGTTGTCCTGGGGTTTTGAGGTCACTATGCCTGGTACTGTGACGCTCCGCGTCTGTCCCTAAATTTAATGGCGTCAACACATTTGTCAGACCGTTTAAGCATAGCAGTGACTGCTATGATAGACATGATTGCCCCGCTATTGGTGGCTGAAGATGCAGTCGGTGACGGATTTCAGGGCAGTTTTCGTGGAGTGATGGTGTAGGGAAGTCGTGCTAGGTAAAGGATGATAGATGGTGTAGATGGTTACGACAGATGTAGTTAGCTGCTTCTGTGCCACCCGTTCTGCCAGCCGTTTGGTGACTGACGTGGATGATGGAGACAGGCCGGAAATGAAATGGGTCTACGGGGACATAAGATTTACGGATCAGGTGGATGATGAAATGTTTCCAGGATTCAGGAATGCTTTGGTTACCAGAACCTGACATAGATCCCAAACGCCGTCCCAAAGCGGTTGGTTCAGTGGCTGTACTCCAGTGTGCGTGGCTGGGTGCGCACAGTGGCCCACTTCTCTACTTACGCCACTGTCTTAGCGCCACCCCAATATATGGTGTTAGTCTCGTGTCGCTCAGATGCCGCTGCACCGGGATGTAGGTTGTTTTTCTACATGTGTTGGAAAACTTAAAAAGCGAATTTGACTCTTTTCATGCAATAGAATATGGGGAAGCATTTCGTAATAAAAAAAACTACAGAGTTCCGTGGAGTAGAAGCAGCCATTGACAACAGCTAAATAGTTCCGTTACTTTAAAGACAATCAAGTCAACGTGGACAGTATCTTTTTAATTGCTCTCGTTGCATGGAGTGGAGCAAAGCAGCCATCAGTGGTTGAAATATATTAGAATGTAAAAAGAGTGACGGACGGATGTCACCAGTCCGGGCCAGTCGGTGCAAGCAGAGGGGCTGAAGTTGAGAAAATTATTACGAGGACTGTCTAAGTTATCGGCGTTGGATGCAATCACCGTTCAGTTCATTCAATTGAGAGATGGTATTTATGATCTAACGCTAATGATAATCAACGCCATTAGCCGGTGAATAATTTCACTTCTCTAAGCGTTTTTACGCTACCCGGCTCCAGACCGGACGCTGAGCCCCCAATGTTTGTGAAATTCGAGTTCGTTATGGGATTTACAGCAACGCGAGGCCAGCAAAGCATTTTCTGCACGCTTTACACCGTTTAATGAGCAGAGCGGTTCAACCATATACTAGGATGGCCCTGAATTTTCGAAGTCCTCTGCCATTGCAAGCCCATGACCTTGCACATATGGTGCAGCGATTTGTTTCAACAGGACGTTGAATGTTGGGTTATTATGCATACAGTCTCCAACAAAAAGCGCACCCAAATGTGAAGGAAAAGAGCAAAATAACCGCATCATACAAATGTGTGGATGTTTTTATCTAAAGCGCCCAAAACAGCATATAGTCACTTATTCCACCACACTGTCAATATGAACATGTACAAAGCGGATCCTTTTCCTTCTCTTCCTTACATTTTACGCAGCCGTAGTTCGGAATAATTCCAAGGTTACAGATGATCGTACTTGGCTTTTTAGCGCCGGCTGATTTTGCCGTAAAAGGGCTTCAATGACACGCTTCTGTGACCCTTTTGTCGCCCACTCCTTTTAGCACCACGACGTCCCAGTATAATCCTTTCAGCAACGAACGGCCCCCACACGCGCCACCCGAAACTATTTTCCAGCTCCGGCAGCGGCAGCGGCCGGCAGACGCCTTCATCGCGGCGCGACGCCCGTTACGAGGCGGCGATGTTTGGCAATATTGGCGCACCAGGGCCGCCTCGCGTCCGCTGGAGCGGTCATATTGGCGCGGACAACCGGGCCGTCGCTGACACCGACGCGCCGGAGTAGGCGCCGCCGAGAGCAGGGACAATTTTCGGCTGGCGGCTACGGCTGGCGGCTTGCGAGCCGTTGGCATAGTTTGGCGTTAGATTGGCCGGCGGCTGACGGGAGGTGACGGGGACGGGTTAGACGGCGGAATGGCGGAGACGCCGCAGCTGCTGCCGTCCGCTCCGCCCGTTCCGTGAGAGATACAGGAGCGTTGCGAGGGGAGGTGAAGATAACGGAAAAGAAGGTGCCTCCGCAGTAACGGCAATGCGGTAATGCACTGAGAATTCGTTGAGGTGGAATGGATCAGCATCTCTCCATACTACTCGTTGGCTCCTCACAGATGGTCAAAAGTTTGAAGAAGTTGGAGTGTTGCTGGTTTTGCACTCAGAAGCTGTGTTTGTAAGCATTATGTGCTCTGAGTTACTACGGAAATCTAGTCGCGCTACGATGTGACGCATGCCATTCTATTTTGTCATCCAGGTCGAACGATGTTACGCAAACGGTAAGTGGATCACAACAGAAACATTATTCCATGTCAGTTTTGCATGCGTGCGCATTACGGCCACATGCAAATTCGCAAGATGTTCATCGTCGTGGATAGAAACCACTGCATTTCGAAATATCGCGTCCAGGGCAGCCGTCGGGGTGCACTGAGCCGTGAGTTTAGTCATTTCATCTGTGCTAATGCTACACATTGCTGATAGTGCAAATCCGTGCATAGTCTGCAATTTCAAGTACATACCCTTGAAGGCCGGACTGATCTTCCAGACGCCGAGTCCTCCGATGGACAGGTACTGGCCGAGCGACACCTCCAGCAGGAACATGGGCACGCCGCACGTGGCCACCGTCAGCAGGTACGGGATCAGGAAGGCGCCTGCAGCACACGCCTGAGCTCAGCCCATCTCAGCAGGTAGAGGGTGGTGGCAGGCGGGCACACCTGTACAAGAGCGCCGCTCCGAACCACACCAGCTCCACAGCGGTGGTCAGCTCCGATGATTCGCCGAGATCAGGTTGACTTATCCAACACGGTGGCTCGAAAAATGCAGGGCGGGAAGCAGCAAGATGTGGGGGTCGGTCGTGGGCAAGGCACTTTTCTTGGATGCATGTTCTACAATTCAGCACCACTATAGACCCAAAATTATTTTTGCCGCGTAACCTGAGCACGATGGTCTTAAGATCGCCGTTGCGTACTTGGTTAGATCTCACTTACTAGTTTTTGGCGCCTTCCCACTAGCGCGAGACAACACATAGTTTTTTTCGCGCCATCCCACAGGCGCGAGACAACACATCTTTTTGGCGCTATCCCACAAGCGCAAGACAACAAATACCTTGCTGGCTGTTGGATTTGCAACATGATTCATGGCATGCATGTCAGTGTTTATCTACCATTTGCGTGCCAGCCCGCCAGCGGAACGGCGGGTCCCATGGCGGCTTCGTCGCGCCGGCCAGCCGCGTGTGGCATCTACACTGACTATGCGCTAGTCCTCCTTCACACAGGCACGCAGACCAGGGGCTTGGATTTCTTTTTCATCGCAGGATGCCAGAACCTCCAAAACTTTGGCCACAGCGGCAAACAACAGTGCACTCTACAACCAAAAATGAATAGGCTAAATTAAAGAGAAGCACGCTTTCGGCTTTTTCAGAAAAGGTCAAGTCATTTTTGCTGTTCAGTCCCCCGTCCCCCTTTCCAACTGGCTTTGCCAAACCACGCCCTTCATGCACACCAATTGTGAAATATAGCGCACGATTTATCGCAAGCCATCGCTGTCAACGCACACAGATCAGATTGGCCATCGTCCTAGCAGATGGCGGACATCAGTCTCGAACCTCACCTCCACCATTCTTGTAGCAGAGGTAGGGGAACCTCCAGACGTTGCCGAGGCCGATAGCGTAGCCGACCACCGAGAGGACAAAGTCCAGCTTTCCCGACCACGTCTCGCGGTCCGGCTCGTCCGACTTCAGCGCTATCACCTGGAGCAGGCATGCGTGCCGGCCATCAGCAGCACGGTGGACCACAGGACGACAGTTCGCCCCACCCCGGGGCAGATGTGGGTGTGAGGTGGAGCATGCAGGGGACGCCGAGCTCGCTCACACCGCGCCCGACGAGGGGATGTATGTCCCGAGGCGGGCCTCCTGCTACGGCTCTGGCAGCTAAAGATTTTATCTGGGATGGCATAGGATTGATGGCACATTCCTAGCCTACATGTCAAATTATTTCTCCGGAGTCAGCTATGGTCCACGAACCGCGTTGTTATTACCGTTTATGGTAGTTAGCCTAGTTCGCAATTTTACATGCAAAGCATGACATTTCCGATGCTTTGGGAATGGCATATCAACGGCTTAGTTACTCGCATATGACCCAGAAATAATGCAAGTTTTAAGGGAAACACGTACACCCACAACGCTTATGGGTACATGAAATACTTAAACGTACAAAGCCAACAACGTGTGGTGATGTCTGCTGTAGCCTCGCCGGCCTCTCTCACTAGAGGCCTTCAAGGGTAAAGTTTTATTTATCCAATCCACCGGACAGCCATTAGGATGTGCCCACATACCCACCCACTACCCTTTCCTAATCAATTTTGCCCAACCGTTAGTCAAACGTTTGCATTTTGCAGCACTTAATCCCTTAACCATACCCTGATTCCCCGTTGTTTTGTCCATAACGCGAACTGATATGAAGAATCGATGTGACCCCTGCCGTTACGAAGGTAATAAAAATAGATGGAAATGCTATTGGATCAATCTCAACAAGATCTCACGGTTTGCAACTATGTGTATGCTGCTAAGTCAAAAACTGACCCCATTATGCCAGGTCAAAGGTCAAATGTTCTCGTAACTCGAACATTTTTAGCTTTACATATTTATATGAGCAATATATTGCTTGCAGTGACACAAGCCTGAAGATGCGTGTTCCTTGCTCAATTCTGAGTCCAACGGTGCGTATTTTTACATGTTATGCAGCACGTTTGTGTGATGCATGACTCCCGTTAATATAACAACGTCGTTCCGCCGCAGGCGATCCGTGGAATCGTCCGTTGCCGCCCACCTCCCACGCCGGCCGTCGATCGCCATGCAAAACGCGCCTCTGCTCCGAAACCAGAAAAGCTAAGAGCGCGTTTTAGTGCCAAAACACGAGCAATGGCTGTCCCATAAGCTATTTGAATTTAGGTGCGATTGCACGACACGCAGTAGAGGAAAACTCAGACACTCCGAGGGGGAGGTTTGCGTGGACCCCTTCCAGTTAAGGAGAGGATCAATTATGGAAAAGTTCAGGGAAAGCTTACACCCAGGCTTACTCATTTGCGTTATTATTGCAAAGTAGTTTGAGTGTAGGTTCTTATCGCTCACAAAAACGCAAGCAGTAGCACTGTGTAGCATTTCTTCCTTCCTGAAATAACTTCTAGATACTTTGTCAAGTTCTTACTCATCCTTGCACCCCTAACATACCTAAGATCCTGTTCCCACCCCAGCCCGTCCCTCACGCCACATGGGAACCCAAAGGGCCTACCCATCCCGTGAAGTATTCCATCTCTCGCGCCTGGTGTCGGCCGCGACAGTTTACCTGCGCGTTCGGCGCCTGCGGAGCACCGTTGGCTCCGTGTAGACTGTTGTCATGCGTTGCCATCTCGACGTTCAGCGCTTTCTGCTGGCCTCTGTCGGCGGCCATCTCGGATGACGTAGTGATGATCAACAGCTTGCCGATTTAAGCGTTGTAAACATGCCGGTGTGTTTGTCACCTGAAACAATACATACATTACACTGGGTATATAACGTGAAATGTGGACGCTGGTTCCAAACATCATCCTGAATGTATTCAGATCATTTTTCTAAGATGTCGTACTTTAGAATGAGCGTGAACATCTCATCAGGTTCCTAAAGCTACAAGAAGAATAATTGATTAAAGATACAGGAATTCAGATTCATGGTTCGCGCTGCTGGCACATACGCAATGTTCACCGGATCTCCTAATGCCTGTAGGTACTTTGCTACCAAAAATTACCAGAAAATTGGTGCTTTGTTACCGGAAAATGTTAGCCTAAGATACATCCATTGGAAGCTGGTACCATTGCGGTACCAGTCAAAAAGTGCCCACTATCAACGCCAAGCCCGCGCCAATCCACGGGCATATTCATCAAGGAACGCCCCGTTTATCTTTCAGAAGCACCACAATAGGATGATGTCCATATGCCAAAGTTGTTATCGTCCCTAATTAAAGTCACAAACTGTGCATGCATGTGCACTCATTCGATGGACTTAATGCCTTGACTTTCTAAAAGAAATGGCAGAGCTGACCTCTGCAAGGCATCGTGCATGTCAAAAGATGCTCTCTGAGGCAGCAAAGTACGGGTTTGTTTAGGTGCTAATTTTGATTACATTACATAATTAAACAAAAAACGTGCCATTTTCACTCAGCGCTCTTGGAACTCCTCGGAACATATATATTCCCTTTACAGCAAATCTGGCACTTGTAAGTGGTGTATCCAAAGGCGGAATGGATCTTCACAGAGCCCTTTGGGTCATGATTATGGCCATCCCTCTGGGTCATGGCTTTTCAAGGGGAAAGTGAGACCAATTTCCCAACTTTTCCGAATTTGATACCAGACCATTTCCGTTGAACGAATAGAAACGTTTCCGTCAAACTTACAAACCTCCCAACCTATCATCCGTGTCGGAACCTGTGCCTCAGGACATACGCGAGGGTTCCGTGAGGAGGAGTAAAGTGAGGGGTTTCGTAAAACTAAAAATGCCTTAAGGGCCTGTCAGACCACCAAGAGCATAACGGGTTCTAGACACACAAAAACATTGAACGTCATTGTTCTAATTGTCTCTCTTTTAATTTGGTGTGGCCTGAGAGCAGACGCACTAGATGGCGAGGGGGGAGTAATGCTACGCTCGCAAACCACCGTACTGGATTTGTAAGGATTTCCAGGGTGTGGGATGTCCCAGGGTGCTGTATTGTCCGGACGGAAACTGAGCAAAGATGGCAGTCCGGGCCAGAGCAGCCGTGCCGGGGATCTGTATGACATACAATATTACTGTATGACCGTGTGCAAACTTGTCCGATGAGCTGAATCGGCCTATTTGGAGTGGTGGTTTCTGGGCACATACGACAACTTCTGCTTAGTAGGCGTATTGAACCCAAAAGCTGTTCATGCAGATCAATCCTGGGATCTTTTCAGCGCTATGAAGAGATAGTTGACAGGGAAGAGGCTATCCCTGTGAAAAGCCAGCAGTCGAGCCGCCTAGTAGGAAACGGAGCAGCGGGGAAAATAACGCAAACTGGTCGAAAAAGATTAAGCTGCTATCGTAATTATCTTGCCCAAGTCTGTAGACTTGCTATTGACAGTGCGGTAGTCATAGTGACTGCGCTGTCAATGGCACCTTAGGACAGTCCAAATTGAAAGTTTGGATGACTTCGTCCTCAACTGCGCTTACATGCGCGTACTTGCTCCATGTTACGTCATAGGTGAGATATACAAATGTGCGGGGGCCACGAAATATACATACATTATAAATATCTAAAATTATGCCAAATAAAAAGGATGAGCACGGCTTCGGCCTTTGGTGGAACACATGGTTGCACACCACATATCGGTCAATTTATGTAAGTGGATGAAAGACACGCCCTAAATATGATGTCTGGAGCACGTGGTCATAAATTTGTACATTGAATTGGAATAGCCTAAGCTGGCCTACAAATTAAATTAAGTTCTTGCAAACCTACAATGCACCGAGCGATTTAACCGCAAACCAAAGTATCGAGTTAATCTGTGTGAGCATGAAGTGGATCCAAACACCACGAGAGGCTTATACGTTTGATGGTGGAGTGTTCTTTTTGACAGGTGCTGGAATGAAATAGATGAAGTAAACCTATTATGAGAAAACTGTGACTGTTCAGGAATTTGAAGCCCCAATTCAGCATGAAAAACATGACTGAAAATTGGAAAGCCAACTTGATTGCAAATGGTGCATTTGTTGCATTAACCTGGGATAACCAGGCCTCTTAAATAGGTCATCATGACATAATAGCACACACCAGAACTATTAAGCCAGCTACGGTTTACGAAGAAGCATGAAGTAGATCTCGAAGATATGCGGCAAAAATTATGTGGTGACATTTAATTTAATAACATAATTTTGGTCCGGCATGGGTTGACACGAGGTACAAGAGCAGCCTTGAACATGGGTAGAGGGGCGCGGAAAAGTGTCACACCACTGGGCCGCTCGCTTCGGAATTACTGTGAAGCACATAAAGGAGCGTAGAACGTCCGACAGCAACTGATGGATGAAGCGAAGCATGTTGTAGCTTCGCAGTTCCAATACCAAAAATGGTAATGTCATCGTTGTCCATCGTCATATCCATTTGCCATAGCTTTAGGGGGGAATGGCATGCGCGACAACCACGGAGTGAGAGGGACGAATTTACGTCCGGTGAAATGTATACCAGCATTCATTTGACAAGGCGCCATGGACACTTTGAGAGTCGGCTGTTGGACGACCCGATGCTGAGCGTCAATGAGAACGCCCTTGGACTGCGCCGTTTGTCTCATCGACCACATCCGTCTTCCGCAACGAGTCTAATCATGAACCGCTGGCGGCTGGCCACGTGGCGAGCGCATGCAAACACGGCGTGACGAGCTCTCGCGCATCCTGCCTGCGGTGTCAGCAAACGCCTAGCTACCCACGAGACTCCTCGCAGGTAACGTTGTCACGCACGAGGACCATGAAGATAACGTTGTCACGCACGAACACCATGAAGATGACGTTGTCAGCCGCACTTTCACTTTCACCAAGAACACAAATGCGCAGCTTCGAACTAAGTTGTTGTTAATCGCATTGCTTAGTGCTATGTTTTTCGATAGCACCGAGGCAATGTGAATACCGGCCAATCGATATTGCATTCGTGCTGTTAAGTGCGGTAGCCGCCGTTTGCCTGCGGGAGTACACAGAATCCGACTTTCCTTCTCAGGTTTGCAGTTGTTTTTTTTTGCACCATTTGAGGCGCTATGTTAAGACGGGGCTTTTCCATTCTCACCGCCCTTTTCACAGATACCTTCCATATTTCACGTCATCAGCTGCTCCACCGAAATATTTAAGGTGACGAAAGTTTCAAAAATATTGTGCATTTTTGTGGTAAACATTTGATGTCAGCAGGGTAAGATCCAAGGAGGGACAAAATGAGCAAATTCCCTCCCCGAAAACCCCAAGTCATTTAAATTTCCACTTAGACTTTGTCAAAAACACATTTTTAGTCTTTTTGCCAGCATGTTTTCAAACCAGAAAACCAACTGTATTTTCCTCAGTAATGGTCAGTGGCGTACTTGGTCGATTCATGATACACAATGAAAAATTCGGGCAGCGTACATCTACTGACCGGTTCTGAGGGACGAATTTCCACGCTTATGACTTATTGGTGCTTTCGGCCTTCCTTTTCTGGCTCACTGCATATGGTTGCTTTGAGTCGCTTAGGCATTGATGTTTACCGGGCTGGCTTAAATGCATGGTGAAAAGACAAATACATTCCGATTTTATCTGTCCATAGCAAAACAGAAATGACAAGATGCATAGACAAAGGGTATCTATGTGAAAGATTTGCGCAACCGTTAAGTTTGTCTCATGCATGACAAACATCTTGTCTCCATTTACGTTCTCTTTTTGCACGTGGTCCAAATGGAGGTAAAGGTCAGCGCGCTTTGCACATCATCGACATTCTTGGCGCACGCATCAGGTGTAATTTTGAGCGCTTCCTGGCTGATGGCGTTGTTCAGGTCATCAAGGCTCTGAGGGCTCTCTCTGTAGACATGGAATTTTCGGAATTCCATGCATAAAGATCTAGAGTGGTCCGATCCGGGGAGTGGGCTGACCACGAGTTACCAGTCTCTCGGATGATCATGTGGGCTCCAAAGTGGTTCTCCTGCCTGCTAGGGCCGTTTTTGATGTGGGGAGCCCCCTAGCTATGCTGGATCCATAAAGTTTCCATTTTTACCCTCGGGGTCTTGCTCCAGTCATGAATAGAAGTGCTCCGGTGTGCTGACGTAACATTTCCTGTTGACCGTGGCCCTGGAGTCACCTTCAAACTGGAGGAAAAAGGGGCCAAGGTGGCAGCTAAAACTTATGGCGCACCCCCCCCCCCCCCTGCCACCTTTGGGCTGTAAGAGGAGGGGGTTCTCAGCATGGCGTGGGGTGGCTCCGAGTCCCAGGTCTGGTAGTTTTGGGTGCTTGCTCCCCCATTCATGTGGAAGTTGCCCTCATCGCTGAGCCCGTCTCGTTTCAGAATCCCGGCATCGGCTTCAGCCTTGGTCTTCAGCCAGGTGACAAACATCATCCGATGTTCTTTGTTAGCCTCAGTCAGCTTTTGGTGGATGGTCCCGTTGTGGAAGATTTTTTTTAGTCGTTTTTGGAATGTGCCGCAAAGATGTGTGATTGTGGCATATTTGCGATTTATTTTGGTAGGTCCTTTGTTATGACGGGCTCAACTTTTGCTATGTCATCTTGTGTTATTTTTGGCGGCATCTTTCCAATTTGTCCTGTGTTTTGCCTGAGCACAAACGCATCTCTCAACGTTTCTCGTGTGGCTCAAAATTATTTTTGCTCAAGGGGCATATGGAATTAAGCAGGTGGCGTCGCAGAGGGACGGCGCAGCAGGGAGTCAGAGAGGCAAGAGTATGTTTTTGCCAGCTCAAAATTTTTCGAAGCCCTTCTTCCCAAACCAAAGGCTTGTCGCTTCCCGTTGATT